CTTTCATCTTGCTAGAGAGGGGAATATACATCATCGTCATCCAGAACATTATCATTGCCGAAGAGGCCATTTTTCTTTGTGAATAAAAGTTACTTAGTTCGTGAATTTAATATACTGCTTATCAGACAACCACGTATCAATTTATACTTTCTAATTTTATTTAGTATTGAGGAAATAGTATGTACGAGGGGTGATCAATAAGTAATGGACGCTCTTTTACACAGATACTTTTTATCGACCAATCCCTTTGATTTTCCTACAAGTGATACATCATTCAATTATCTATCAATTCTGAAGATTTGAAGACAAAATATATAATACATGTTGATGTATCCTTATTTCTGTGAAGGAGGTACAGGTACCCCGGGACCGACATTTACGTCACATATTCAGATTTTAGCCAGTTTAGTAAATTTCAGTTAGATTTGAACTTTTTATATGCAACAAGTGTTGTGTTGTTTGACATTTTTTGCTGACTGGTAACACATAAACAGAAAGTATTGTGATGTCAGAGTGTTGTATGGAAGGGGTTTGCAGGTCAATTTGAGAAAGCATTGTGGAAGAAAGGGGTGGTGAGAGAAGGGAACACCCTACTCCATATGGACACAGATCTCAAAATGTTCAGAAAACAATATCCCTGGACCTCAAAATTGAGCAATTGGCCAATGCACCATATTGTCCATATCTGCTCACAATTGACTTGTTTATTTCTATACTACTTATTTCTATAGAGAAAGGACGCAGGTTTATTGACATTGATGAAATAAAACAACCCATGTAACTGCATTTTGCTACCATGTCAGAGAATGAATTCAGCCTTGTCTCACAATCTTGAGTTAAGAGGATGAGGAATTGTGTACTTGTAGCACTTGATGGAACCTATTTAGAGGGCCCTGTGGAATGAATGTGGCATGAATACCACAAAGTGATGATAAAATATTCAAAATCAACTATGGCATAACAAAATGGGGTAATTTATGACCATAATGATTTGTTATGTTCAGCCTGCATTCTACTACATTGCATGTTAAACAAGCTAAAATAGCTTCAGAATATGTGACGTAAATGTCGGTCCCGGGGTACCTGTACCCCCTTCACGGAAATAAGGATATATCAACATGTATTATATATTTTGTCTTCAAATCTTCAGAATTGATAGATAATTGAATGATGTATCACTGGTAGGAAAATCAAAGGGATTGGTCTATAAAAAGTATCTGTGTAAAAAAGCGTCCATTACTTATTGATCACCCCTCGTATGTATCTTATCATGTTACCAAACAGAGAATAAGGAAATATGTCCACATAGATTGGTCTATTTTGAATCATAAATCATGGCAAATTACAGTAACCTAGACATTTTTTATTAGTCATGCTACTTACGCTTAACATCACCGCCAAAAATAAATATTGTCGCCATAATTATGCTGAGTGACAGTCATATGTGCAGGTGCTTCAAGAAATATCATCATCCTTTCCCGATCACAAGTACAAGTAAAGCACAAGATGATGTTCCACTTGCTTATTCTACAAGACGAGGGGATAAAATATTCAAAATGCGAAGTTATGATTTATGTTTATTTCTAAGCATGTGCGTGACAATAACACAATAATAGAAAAACTATTAAAGAAAAAGTGATATCCCCAGACTAGTATGCTCTGCAATGTATAAATAATAGTAGGCATATTTACTATTTTCAAATTCATAATTAAGCTACATGTTTCACAATTATTTCAATTTTACTAATTGACAAAAACAGAACACTCGATTTCAACATCAAAAATAGTTACATAGAGGCAATAAAAATGACACGTGGTAGAAATTCCTCTTTGAACCATCAGTTTGTGTGCTACTTTATTTCCTATTCAATTTTTAACTAGGTGATTTATGTAAAATATGATAAAGTAAAAGATTAGGTTGTTGAAAATGAGTTATTTAACTTATTCCAATTCCTCATGTGATTAACAGGCAGGGGCGGATCTGGGAACCAACAAGGGGGGGGGGGCAAATTTCAGGTCAGAGAAAAAAAACTTCCCCGCTTGCGCGGAAAAAATTTTTGGGCCCCTAAAACCCATAAGTGGGCCCAAATTTTGAATTTTCTTCAAAATTTGGCCTGAAATTAAAAATAAGGCCTTAAAAGGCTCAGTTATGACCAAAAAAGGCCCACTTTTTGGGGCCTTAAGGCCTTTTTTGGCCGAAAATTTTTTTTGGGCCCAATTATTTTTTTCTGGGCCCACCCAAGGAGGGGGGCGGGCCTCAAGCCCCCCCCCCCTAATCCGCCAGTGACAGGCGAGCATCAGGATTCAAAGAATCAATAAGATAGTCCACAGTCTCCTTTTCAGAAGGGGATACACCAGGAGAAGCTTCATGAACATACCTGCCAACCTACCGTATTTTAACGGGAATTTTATGTAAATTATTCGTTTTTTCCGTATATGGTATTTTTTCGCTTAAAAACAACCGTAAAAATCTATCGTATTTTTTACAGAAATCGATCGTAAATTTTTTTAAACTCGAAAATGTTTTAAATCTACCGTATTTCTGCTGAAATCAACAGTATTTTGTTCAAACTACCGTAATCTACCGTTATTATTTGGATATTCTGAAAAAGTGAAGTCTTCTTGTACTGTCCCTGTCAGTGGAGACGATTGCCGTATCATACATTTGAACCATGATACGGCAATTGCCGTATAGAACGTCAATATATTTTTAACAACGGTTATCTTTTAAAAATCTAAACAATTCTGGATTTTAAATTCGAACTTAATCATATAACATCGTTCATTCACATGTGGTCATGGTTCGGTGAGAAATCCTTCCATTTGCACAGTGTGTCAAAATCGGCTCTGGACCAAGTTTCAGATATTGCAAAAATGAGTGCAAGGGCTAAATGCCAATGGAAGTGCTCCTGACTTGAATTGTTGTGACTTTTTCTTTTGGAGCTATCTCAGGAGCATCTGTGCTCACCATTCCTCCATTCCTCCACCAGATATTGCAAAAGAATTGTCAATGGGCTGCATTTCTCCGCTTTAACCCACATATGACTCAGGACTGAACATGCAAGACATGGAGAGATGAGCGCATCTTTATGTGCAAATAAGTGGTGGCAATTTGGAGGGGTATTGGATGTATTCTTGTAAGAGTATTTGTATGAACACTTTACTGTCTATGTCACACCTGCACCACCTTCTTCCAATTGCCCTTATACCCCTTGCACTGACTTTTGCAATGTTTAAAACTTGGGTCCGGGCTGAATTTTACCCCACTTTGCGAATTTAATGATTATTCGGCCAGCCATGATTCCCTATGAATGAATGACATTCCATTGCAAAGAGGAGTAATTTAGCTTTTTGGTACATTGAATGAAATTGATGTAGTCATCATTGGTTTTATGTTTTCTTCCAATATTGCATTGGGCCCCGTACACTGACTTTCGCGATGTTTATAAATTGGCCATGGTGTCCCAAGCTAATTTTGGCCCACTTTGCAAAGGAATGATTACTCGCCCAACCATGACCCAATATCACCGAATGATATACCATTGGAAAGAGGAGACACATGGCTTCATTGTACATTGAATGAAATCAATGCTGTTATCACTGGTTTTGCGCTTCTCCGAGATAACAATCTGTTGCACTGTATATTTCCAATGAGCATTTTCCGATATTTTATTTAAGGCACCATGCTTCGAAAATGGTAAAACTCAAAATAAAATAATCCCAAATTCACTACTATTGTTCCCTCCCCAACAAGAATACATTTTGATACACCACATCTTTCTGTTTTTCAACAAGAATACATTCTGATACATCACATCTTTCTGTTTTTCAACAAGAATACATTTTGATCTTTCTGTTTTTCAACAAGAATACATTTTGATCTTTCTGTTTTTCAACAAGAATACATTTTGATCTTTCTGTTTTTCAACAAGAATACATTTTGATACTCACCACATCTTTCTGTTTTCAACAAGAAATATGAAAGGAACTAGGACATGATTTTTCATGAATGTCTTTTGATGATGGAAAATTGAATTCGATTGACATCACTTATCGAGGCGTATAGCCTAGGATAGCCTTCCCGATTTCAGTCATGAATTACGTCAATTTCGCTTGCAAACATTGGGAAGACGTTGTCATTACCGGATACCCAAACGTGTCGGGAGCACAAAGATACTCGAATGATGTTGATTGGACGTCAGGTTGCAGAGAAATCAGAGAAATTTTACTGAGTGGCTTCACGAAAAAATAAGCAGCACTTTCTATAGGCCACCTTTAACTGAGCAATCTTTGATGAGCGTATAGATTTGTACTGTAGCGACATCTTTTAAAAGGCGAAATATTTAAAAACTATTGATCTAAGGAAAATGAGGAGAGACAAAGATTTCATCTCACGTTTATAACCTCATGGCCAGTCAACATATTAGGCAGAGTCGTGATGCAAATGCAAATGAACACCACATCAATCTCTCCATCTGCCTGGAAACGAGTAAGATAATGAGTATAAGAATAGCGGTAGCTGATGTCTATGAGCATTATTCTGTGATGAAAAAGGAATGAATACGTCTTTAATATACACTCCCCTCCAAAAGTTTGGCAATGTCAATGTTTGACTCTTTTGTTCCTCATAGCACGGGAATGAACACGACAAATGTGATAAATTTCGGTAAATCGCAAAACACAAACATAATCAAACAGACTTTGATCCAAAGGAGAACTTGTTGTTAAATTTATGTAGGGAGTGTAAATATCGGGAAATAAATAAATAAATATCGTCCGAAAGTACCAATGGATACTAAGGGCATTCTATTGATAAAAGTAAACATTAATCAAAAGCGCCATTCGAATTCGGTTTTACATATAAAATAGAAAAACTATTTATTTAGAAGGATTTGGTCAATGTATTTACTGAGCTGCCATAATAAGCTCACATCTTGGCATTTCTCCAGGTTTCTATGCGGCACTATGATACTAGAATAATATTTATGATACTAGAATAATATTTCATCGTGAATTTGATCGACCTAGTGCCATCGAAGAATCTATGCCCAACATATCAAAGCGAGTGCAGTATTTTAAGGTCAGGTCGTCTAGATTTACGACAGCTGTACTGAGTCAATCTCTGCAGTCAAGAAAAATCTAATTAAATTCGCGCAACCGTTTTAGGTTAGTGTACAACAAGGACGGGTAGACATAGTCGGTGAAAATATTCATCTAGGCCTACTAATATTAGGATAGGGAACAGAGAAGTATTAAGATTGATCGTGCAACACTAACACGGACAATCTATATTGCAGAATACTTGGCTACACGAGGTCAAGGAAGGTTGCTACGAGGAAGTTAATTTCTCACGATGCCATGTCCATAATCAGTGCGACATCTTCTGACAATGGTTCTCGACTATCACACTTCTAGACTGTTGAACGGAATCTAGGGAGGGAGATAATCTACATGGTAAGGTATATAGGGACGATAATACTATCTGGACCTTATTCATTAATTGACTTATTTATTTATTTAATTATTTATTTATGTATTTGTTTAACCCAAGTCTTAGAGCTTTGCAGAAAGTCAGCTTATTTTCGGGAAGGGTATTTTTTTTGAAGGGAATCGATGACAAAGAAGATAAAAAAGAATATAAAAAGAATGGCCCTGACCTGATTGAACTCATTAAATGCTTAATAAAGGGAAGAATATTTGGCTAGGATTTAAATCAATATTTTGATTTTCATGTTTTTTTTAATTAGTATTAGAACTACTGAAACTACCTGAATGGGTGCACTGCACACGGACTATATATAAATACTAGTATTTAGATTCGAGGTGACCTTGTAAAATATATTGTATGAAGTAAACAAATCGTCATGTATATGTATATTTAATTTCCTTTCAGTTGTTGGAAAGTATACTCAATACCACTCAAGCCACGTATTCCTTTCATTATAACGAATTTTATGTAACATGACTTTATGCTTTTATTCCGCTATTTAATATACGCTCTACCATGAGTATTTGGTATCAAATTAAACGTCTCTTAATCCTGCAAAACATCATTTAGTTTTTATCTCAGGGTTATAAAAGCTGAACGCATTATCAATCGTCGAACATTCCAAACTATCATTTTTTGCCTTGTAACCGATCACCCTTATGTTGATTGACAGTAACTTTTTTATATTCTGAAACGTATTTTGTTATAATAATTGACTATTTCATCACAAAGACTGCATCGTGTCGATTGTACGTTAGCTGGAATTAATTTATTTGCTAATTTACTATTGAAAAATCGACATTAAGTATGTGTAACCCTTGAAGGCACCATCATCGACACCATGCTTGAAATCAACGGTGTCGAGAAGCCTCTGCACTATTCATGATAATTCCCCATTTACTTCTTTGAAATATAAATTGCCTTACTAACGGATGTAAAACATTTTCACAATACATTTGAGTATAACATATTTAGCTTGTTACGTATTTGTCGACGTAAAGTACTATTTTTCAAAATCATCATCGACTCTACAAGTACGTTGTCTTTGCACTCTGCTTTCAATCAAAATCAGGTTTCAATGTTAAGTAATGGTGTTGAAGGTTTGTCTCAATATATATTGATAATATAAAAATACGCTTTATTGATGTTATTCTTTGACCACGTAAAGATTGAGATATTTAGGACCATCAACGACTCCACCACATACGACTCCAAAATACTATCCAGATATTAAGTAGGTCACATGTATAATCGAACGCTATATATTTGTTGAATGAACCTACATTCATTAAATGACTATTTTGTTGTATGTGTAGCATTTTACAGTGATACCGGGCTAAGGATTTAGAGGATATTGTTCATTGTGATTACAACGTATAGTGATAAGTAAAATTGAATCTATTAAGCAGATCATGTTATTTACTTATGATGCATATTCTGTTTGTCTTGAAATGCTATGGTAATGTGACACAAGAATTGGGATGATTGAGCAGTTCATAGTTTTATAAAATCACTGACAAATATAGATGCACATTCCCCGATATTTCTTAATTTATAAACGTTTCGTTTCGTGTACCACTAGACGAAATGTATTTCTTGCCATTATTGTAAAACAATAAATATTTCATTGGGATAATCAGTTTTGTGACATTTTATTAATGTGCATAATTTCCCACACTCTCATTAATATATCTGTCTTACTTATCAGACCTTTCTGATGATATAAGAATATGGCACTCACCACGCCGGGAAGTGCCGTCGTTCCCTACAGAGTACAGTACAGGTAGAGAAAGAAAAAGAAGGATACTAAAGGCTACTTAGAGCAAGAACGATTGCGACAGCGAGCATCGTATACACCGAGAAATAACCTGTCTGCTGAAGCTATTCAACGGATCGGAGAAAAGAACAACAAGGCATCCCGGGAATACAGGGCACGCATACGCCAAGTGTATAGAGAAGCAATCAAAACACGCCAGACTGAAGGGAACGCTCAGAGTCTCAAAGTGAAACTGCCAGGACACAAATGAAAATCCAAGAAATCCCAGAACGCATTATTAAAACATTGAAGATAAGGCGACTGGACTTAAGCCAGTACCAGGTACCTTTCGAATCAATGCTGTGAGAGGGGTTTCCGATAATATTGTTGAAACGCGAGAATTATCGTGCTATTGTGACGCATGCAGAACAGATACGTCATCCTCACCCTGTGGTTGGCAAAGGAACAACCTTATAACCGTTAGGAAGACCCAGCAGGCAGCTAAAGTGGGCACCGAGCAACCATCTTTAAAACCAAAACGGAGCACACCCGACACCCAGTACGTCAAGTAAAGCATCGACGCCCCCGACGTTTCCACTCTTTCAACCACATTGAAGCGTCGGCCTTTAGTAACCCCATCTACAAGTTCAAAGTCTTCAGACACAATTGTTTCCGCGAGGAAAAACGGAAAGGCCCGATAAAAAGAACAGACACTGTAAATATTTGCAAGGTGTCAACTATTATTCGTATTTACAATCGCAGTTCGAATGGATCAAGTGCTCTAAATGTCCCGACTGGTTTCATGATTCCGGGAAATGTTCTCGTGTAAAGGGGATACTCATTGGAGAAATATTTCCATGCATTAATTGCAATAAAAGACCTTAAATGTGTAAATTATGTAAACCTTATTGTTTAAAAACCTAAGCGACCATCAGCGACACTGTTAAATAACACTTAATATCACAAGGAGGAGTGATTGACCTATTCGTAACAATGTTGCATTTTGATGTAAGAAGACATATGTGTCTAATTTGTACATTCATTTTGTCGATCGACGAATTGACTTGGCATTTTATTTAGCTTAGAAAACAAAATCTTGAAATAAATTATCTTTAGGGAAACTCAAAACAATGTATTTCAATAGTTATCTTAATAAAATTCTCTTGTTAAGATAAACAACAACTATTGCAATTTATTTTTGTTCATGTGATTGAATAATTCAAACTTAATACATTAGTTTATCTTTAAACTCAAAATTAATTTTGAAACATGAATCAATGTAAGCCTATGTATGCACCATCATCGACACCAGCAATTTAAGAGTATATTTATGTTTTGATGCACAATCAAGTAATTGTTTAAAGGGTAATAAAAATATTTTGAGAAACACTTCTTTAACCCCATGGCTAATGGTATATGCATTTATATCTCAATCTAAAATTTCATTTTTTCAACTTTTACATTGATCAAATGTGAAAGAGATTCGTGGCTTGACTGTACATGAGAAAAAAGTCTCCTTGAAACAAGAATAGACTATTATAACATGCATATGTGTATGCGCCTTGTAATTGAACCCCTGGAAATTCTGGGGAGAGTTGGTACTTTGTCACGAATACAAGCAGAAAACAATATTATACGTTTCGATGCGCGCGTGAAGCTCCTTTGTGCTTGGGCTACCAATAATTCCGACTCTTGCCGACGTATTCTGACTTCACCAAATCATGGGTTTACTCATTGTATCAAATACACAACGATACGGTGATTTTCAATTTTCAATTCAATTTTATGTTTCTTCCAGAGATGACTTGAAATTATGATGGGCTTTCACACACGTGCGTAAAAGAGAGCTTCATATACGCACTCCAGGGTACGTACGCACTAGGCTTAGACTGAACTTATACTCGAAGTCTCTTTTATAGAAGCAAAATTTTTATCGAACTATTGGAATGCTATCCTAGGTCATTGACCCAAAGAGTAATGTCACGAAAACATTACAATGCAAAACGTAATTGTTCAAAATGACACGACGTTAAACCTTGAAAAGTAGGCTGGTTAGTGTTTACCTTTATGAAAGAATTCGTGTCAAATAATTATGATGTCTTAATAGCTTTCATCACTGGTGATCCGCTCGATTACGCTGGTTACCGAATCAATTTCTACAATACTAGTAAACTATAACTAGGCAATGGCCGAAGTTCATGTTTATGAAGGTACATGTTAAAACACATGTGGCCCTGTGGAATATTTTTAAACATCTGCAATAAATAATGAATGAGTGGACTAAATGTCAATGAACAAGTAGTATAAAAATCAAAGTTCAGTACCTCTGCCCCTATTATTCTATTATGACGAACACACACACCCATAGCCATTATCATTCAAAATAAACATTGTATGACCTTACACTGAGGTTCTGACCTTAACAGACTGCTTGAGAAGACGACTATTATTTATAATTAGAGCCGAGGGGAAGATAAGGACCAATGTAAATGTTCAAGGTCAGGTGTACCTGACACCACAGTAAAACATACCTCTTCTCAAGGGCCTTATCACGCAACAATCTAAAATAACATTATTTTTATTCCAGCAGTACAATTAAGAAGACTAAGCATCGGCCAATACTCCAAAATCCATTGAACATCAGTTTAACATTCATCTTTGGAAGACGCTGAAAGGATATAGGGCTTATATTTTGGAATTGCAATACACTAGACAAGATGGAAAAATCCTGGGAAGAATCGCTTGGCTTTAACGCAATCGCAGCATTTCTCTTCTTCCTAGAGGTCTACCATATCGTTGGACATGCCCTTATATTATTCCGCATTCGATTACTTCCGCGAAAGGATTTAGTACGTGTGCGGTACTACTTTCTGATAGACGCATTAACAGTGTTTGTGACGTCATTTGTCTACACCGGAAGGCTGAGATGGCTGGCTCTTTTGCAGAATGCACAGCATATATATTTCTTCATTACTTGGAACAGTCCCAATGAGAAACATTTCACAAATAGGGTAGGTTAAGCATCATATACATCTTACTATATTTGCACATAGCCATCTAGATAGATCTCTCAGGAGATAGCTTTGTGTAAACTAAGTAAATATACATCAATAAGAAATAAATACTAGATAGTTGTAATTTGCCTTGGCATTTCAATTGTTAATAGACGAGCATTTAACCCATTTTACTGTGTCTGGAATACTAATGAAATTTTCAGAATAAAATGCATCGGTACCAATTAATGTATAGACTGAAAAATGAATGATTTTTATGAGCAGTTTTGCACTGTTGTCCTGATTTCTTTTTATATGAACATTCATACATGGCTAATTGTGATGTTTAGTAAGGTGCATTGATACTACACTCCTGCCATCTTTATTACACCAAAGTTGTTAAAATCACACAATCGATTAGACACCATCTTCCACCTTCTTTCAACAACTTATAACAAAAATCTTGAGTATCATTTTCAATATATCCTCAGTAAGAGTACCACGAGCCTCTATAGCCTTCAGGGTTATAAAATCTTGAAACGTTCAAGAATTGACAAGAGAAAGTATCATTGATTCTTATCATATATATACATTTTTCATTTTTATAATACATGTTAAAGAGCATATGCATGTTGTATTCAGGTATCAGTAAAGTTATTATCAAGTCATTATCGCAACATTATCAATTATCATGTCAAAATAATTATCGCTATCATGTTTACTACAATAATTTTTATGCCATTATTAACGAAATTAGAAGGAATAGAAAGTGTAAAATGGTGGACGCAATATTTCCAAAAAAGCGTGTCATTTTGCTACGAGCCCACGGGCCCAATTTTTGTGAAAGAAGAATTGAGATATTTATTAATTATAAAGAAGTTCACGAAGAATTGATAAATGACCAAATTATTATTATTAAAAATGGGGATGTAACCTTTTCATAAGTATTGCCAAACAACCTTACAATCAAAAGATTATCTTGAAATAAAGTCAGAACTGTAGAACTTTGTTGAAAATAGGCATTATTGTCTTATGTCATTACAGGTGATAAGCTGGAGCTCCCTAGACTGGCTCAAGGACGAGAAGACCCAATCCAGACAGGAATGGTTTATCTTCCTCGGAACATTGTTTGACGTCATAGTTCACTGTGTAAATGCTTACATCTTGAGTCAATACATGCACGCTGTTGAGATGGTCGTTGGTTTGAGTTTGGTGAGCGTCCTGTCCTATCTGATCCTTTATAACACGCGCTATGCATGGTCGAACCCGGACGAGGTGCCAAAATGGGTGGAGAAACGCGTCAAGCCAGTTCCACCTCAGAACGTAGGGAACGCAACAGCATACTTTTAAGTTCTTTCTTCTTTGACTATATTTAATGTAACAAAATGCTATGGACGATTTCCAGATGCTTGAAACAATGCAATTATGAACAATTAAGTCTAGTCTTGGTTAAAGCCCCGTCCAACTCACTGTTCCACAGCTGGATGACTCTAACTGCAGTTAGCTTCATTCAAGATGGTTGCCGAGATTCTTTCGTTTTCGATAAACCTCCGATTTCAGCCAAACTAAGTTGAATCTTGATTGCAAAAGTTTCGCCATGCAAACTAATTAAACTACGACTGTATTCAACCACAAATGAATGCCCAAACACCCGCAAGAATTTTAAAGAAAACAGCTTCTTCGTCATCATTACGTCATCATCAACTTCAGTTAGAGTCATTCTAAGTGAAGCCATTTTCTTTAAAATTCTCCAATATCGCGGTCGTTTGAGCATTTATTTGAGGTTATTTACCATCGTAGCTTTATTAATTTGCATGGCGAAACATTTGGAATCTAGATTCAACTTAGTTTAACTGAAATCGGAGGTTTATCAAAAACGAAAGAATTTCGGCAACCATCTTGATTGAAGTTAACTGCAGTTAGAGTCATCCAGCTGTGGAACAGTGCAACTGTCCCCACTTATTTAGGTTTTGATTAAGTAGACGGGGTTCAGAGATATGCTTAAAGACTATGAGAAATCAGCAAATATATGGAATAAGCATTTGCATGATACTTTTCTACAGGGTGACAAAGATACAACCCACTTATTTTGGAATAACTGAAGGAAGGAACCTTCATGATTTTTATATGTACAGGGTGTCCCGAAAGTATGGGGGCCCCCCTAGGCAGACATACACCAATGTTCCCATAGTATGTGTCATATATCATTTTAAAGCTCATCCAAAGTTACATTGATTTGTCAAGTATCATCGTTCAATTTACAAATGGGAAAAAGTTACAGGCATTTCAAAACTTAGTGTCTGGCCAAAATTAAAGTTAAAATCAGTATCCTGGAAACACCGCTAACCTGAATGTGACCAAAAATATGGGTGCTATCATTAAAGAGAGGATGGATATTGAGTTGTAAAAAGAAGTCGGTCAAGGGCAGATACTCCAAGGAAACTCTTCTAAAATGCCATAAAAAGGTTTTATGAGGATTATTAAATCCCATACCCCTATTTGCAGTGTATTTAAGGTCATATCTGGAGAGAATTGCTGCTGTTAACATGGCCAAGGGAGACACGGCGACTATCAATTTTGTGTAAAACTAAACTTTAATTTTGGTAAAACACTACATTTTAAAATGTGTGTAACTTTTTCCCATTTGTGAGCTGAACCATGATACTTGGCAAATCAATGTAACTTTGTACAAGCTTTAAAATGATATATGATACATACTATGGGGACATTGGTGTATGTCTGCCTAGGGGGGGGGGGGGGCCCATACTTTCGGGACACCCTGTAGATAGTGTTTAATGAAGAAACATTGGTATGCTTGTAACTTGGAAATTAAGAGATATCTCATTTTCCGTGGAGGCATGCTCTGACACAAATCACTCAAAATGTAAATTAGAATTATCGTCCTTTTTTAAATTTATTCAATAAGCAGTCAGTTCAGTTGTCAAAATTATGAAAATGGGTAGATATGACATATAGATGATAATATATGTGTAAGCAATGCAGAAATGACTGATAATGGCTAGGACAGCAATTAAATCCCAATTTCAGAAAATCCATATTTTTGAACAATTTCTGACGATTTCACCGAGAAAGTTAAATCACGCTAAATCTCTAAATCTCAAAGTTGTTGATGGTATATACAAGTACAACAATCTTTCATTGAACACTTACCTTGACGGAAAACGCTTAATCTCTAAATCTCAAAGTTGTTAATGGTTTTCAAGTACAACAATCTTTCTTTCATTGAACATTCTATCCAAAATATCACGAAGATTCCTTCATTATTAAGAAAGTTGCTCCAAAATTAGTGGGTGGCATTTTGTGTCACCCTGTATGTAAGCCTCATTGATGTAATTTTGGCAAAGATTTAGTGTACTGCACACCCTGATTGCCAAAGCCTACTGCATGAAGCTCTCTTTTAAGAAGCGATATAAAACTTTTGTAAAGAGTATATGTATGGCATTGTTAACTGCCATACATTTCAAAGTTATTGTTTGAGTTGAGGGAAACAGGCTATATTATTAATTAGGATTTATTGATATTGTATTATAGATACAAACACAATTGTAGATCGATTTAATTTAAAATTTGTATATAGGCAGCCAACTCAGTTCTCCGATCAATGATTTTTTGGAATTGAAGATTGCACTTGGGAGGGTTTCCCTTCTCTTCGATATGCCGACGTTATTAGGCATATCACTCTTATCTGAGTTTGAGATGATGGTTTGATTGCAAATCCAATCATTATAAAATTTCAATGCAATTTTAATATCGTGTTTTGGGATTTTACCAAGGAAAAGAATCACTCATTTTATATATGGACCAACACTAGTACTGCATCTTTAAGGGATATTCAAAATATTTCCTGTGCTGTGTAGTAGGCTAGGGTTATTTTACAACCAAAATGTATCTAACGATGTTGTACAATATAGTACATCATTTAAAATATATTTCTCATTTAAACATGGACCAACAACAAAACATTTAAGGAATATCACAATTCTACACAGCTTTTTTCGTCTTGTTATGCGTTTGGCCATATTTTGATAGATCACTACAGGCCCGTAGCCCCCGCCCTTCTTTCAAAATCATGCAGTTTTTCGAAAGAGCACTTTTCGCATGAAACTCCTGGCAAATGCCCAAACCCACCTTGGTGAAGGCTGGCTACGGGAAAGTACCACATTTACGAAATATGAAATGTTTCGAATCAAATTTAAAGTCGTTTTTACTGTTTGTAATTAATAATGTTCAACAGTTAAGAATTAGATATTTACATTAAGCTTTTTATAGTTGAATTGAAAGTATGTTAATAATTCACTCTCATTTTTCTTTTTATGTGAATATGAAAACTGTAAATAATGAAAAAAAAATGAATAGATAATTTGATTAAACATTGCTCTTGTGTGGAATCCCTTCCCTTGTAAGTTCTAAATGATCTGCAATTGAAGAATTTGGATATTCAGTCTCTTTTTATTGGATCCGTTTCGGTAACAAAATGTCGGAACCTCGAAGGTATGATTTTTATTTTTCCTCATTTCACGAGTTGTAGGCAGAATCTCCAAAACATTTTATCGACAGACGTGTGTCAATATATTAGAGATTTCGCAACTCTTTTAGAGCATGTTTATTATTGTCGTATAACGTACGAAGCGTTTGCTTACGTCATCAATAAGTTGTCGACCGACTCATCCGTAGGGGGTCGTTGGTAGGTATTTTCCATACACCGATATATGATTCGACATTGAAAGCATCAACAAAATGAAAAGTATCTATTATATAAACGATTTTATTTTCGTTTGGCAATAAAAATTGTAGTCCTTATGAAAACACAGCCCACATTCAACATGGGTACATATGCTTAGTTCCTCTTTCTAAAATAGATTAAGATCAGTCAAAGTTTTACACTAACAATTATACACTGTGAAGGTGTTTTCCATCAAAAACATTTCACACTTTCAACACAAATTGTATTGCTTAAAGAATAATAAATGATTATCATTTCGTCCAATAATATATAAAAACATGACACTTTATACTTATAAATAGTTTAAAAAGTTCGAATACATGTTGGAATAGGCTGACAGAAATATTTATAAAATGGAGACACGAGAAAATTCTTGTCAAGAAAATCTATAAAATACATAGTATTTGTAGCATATACGTGTATGCAAAAATCTTTATAAAATTCAGGCTAACGCCATGTATAAAACATTACACCAAAAGTAAAAATATGAATAAATAATGCAACTTGACAGTAGGAAAAGTTAAATATACACCCCAATCTGCACTCTGGAATCATGGTACCGCACGGTACAAGAGTACGGTAACGTGCGGTATCGTTCAAGTATAATGGCATACAGTGATCACGTGCCATACAGTACTGTTTTAGTCTATGATACCGCACGGATCCATATTTACGGTACCATACAGTACGGTAGCCAAAACTGTGCCGTACTGTACTGTTTTAGTCTATGGTATTGTACGGAACCATATTTACGGTACTGTACAGTACTGTAGCCAAAACGGTACCGTATAGTACTGTTTGAGATTGGCTGTGTACAATTTTTCAAAAATATAATATACATGTAAAAAGAGTTAAATAAGTCCAAATAATCAATAATTAACAGTTCTTAAATATAAATTAAATATTATGAAATCCTTGGAATCACGGGTACATGTCATATATGACACTGTTTTTCTAGACTGTTCTATTTGTAATAAGTCCTGAACTCATCTGACGCACTTGAATCAGTAGACAGGGACTGCAAAGATTTCACTGTAGCTGAGGGAACTCGGTTAAAGTTTTTGATTTTTGAAACATTACTAGTTTTCTTCCATGTGAAATCTACTTTTGGTGCACTTCTTGGTCTGGCCACATCAACACTTGGTGGTGGAATGGCATCATATATAGGGTCAACTAAAAAATAAAATATAAATACAAATGATGATCAAAAATCCTTTATTACATACAACTTCATCTCGTACATATTTGTTTTTGTGAAGAATAAAGGAACCTGATAAATGTACATTTTATATCCATGTTTAAAAGATATTATAAATGAATAAACGCAATGAGATCACGCGTCTCGTGGATACGTCAACAGCGCCAATTCAAGCTTGTCCAATAACGTTTCTAACCATTATTCTGAATTTGCATAAATGTTGTTACCTGTATTTGTATATCCAAACATTGATCCGTGACCACTCTCCTCATATGAAGATGGAAAATACTTGTGATGTGCTGTTGGTGGTGGACTTCTGTATAATCTAAAATTAGTTTGCATAATTTTGAATAACTATAGTTTATTTATAACTATATAATTTATTTTTATCTTATATATTTGCTTGGAAACCAGAAAAGCTGTTTTTAAATGAGCCATTTTCAATTGATTGTTCATAATCCTTGTATTTCATAATTTTCACTAATAGAGCTCTAATATATTAGAATATTATATAACTGCAATTTTAAAATTTAGTTCATTACTGAATTCATGCATTTTAGATGAATAGATATTGTCATTAGGTCTATTGTTATAATGAAGGTACCATAATGAAACATATAAAGGGGTAAAAAACTAGAAATTGGAAAAAGTTGGAATTAATCTTTTCAAAAAGACCCATTTACAATTCTTATTTTCTTTTATTTACAAAAATCGAGATATTTAACTATCAAATACGAAAGTTATTGAATATAAGATACAGAAATGTCCAACTTTAATTACAATTATAAAAGAGGATCTTTTAATCAAAGGATTATCCTGAAATGAAGTCTGGAGATTTCGAGATTTTGTGATTCACATCAATTTGTTTTTTTTGATATGGCAGACTCACTTGTCTTTATTCTGTTTTATGAATTGTTCCTCCATGATCTCCTCACGTCTCTTATGGATAACACGTCTTCTATAGATGACTGCTATTATCACTGCTATGATGAACACCAAACCTGCCAGACCACATGCAACTCCTGTTATGATCAAAGGCTGTTTTGATTTCTCACAGAATTCACCTTCGGTTATCCAAGTACAACTGAAAATTAAAATTGTAGAGAATTCATAAGCTACAATGGCTGGTACAATCTATTACAACATGGAACTTTGAAATGCATGTTTATTCAATATGTCATAAATGGTAAGTACTGTAAATTGCTTTAATTTGACAGCCAATAAATCCCCCCCCCCCTAAATTAAATCTCTGCTTCTTTAAAAAAAATCACCGGGAACTTAGATCTTATTGAGAATCCTTTCAATATTTAAATTGCAACCCAATTTTTACATTCGAGCTCACATATAGAGAGGTAAACCCCCTATGTCACACAAGAGTAACTTGGCCAAATGGCTTCCTAACGAGCCCTCCAATATTCATCTGATTGGTCTATTTTCTAAAATAAATAGCAGCCTTTTCAAAATTCACCCAATCTGCCAAATTTAATAGCGCCAAATTAAAACTGAAAAACTGATAAAGAATGATCTTATCAGTAAATACCAATGATACTCTATGCTTCCATTTTTCTCTTTTTTCTCTTTCATTTTGATTCATTTAACTTTTGATCTATGACTAAAACATTACTATAAATATTATGACCCTTGAAAAATAAACATCTAAGAGTAAAAGAGGTTTTAAGGGGACAAACCCCAAATATCTCACATGTAAAGAGCTTTGTCCAATACCAAAAATAGTCTTCTTTTGAAAAACATCAGCATTCCGTTTTAATTAACTTGTGAAACCTTCTTGCATGGATTTTTAAATTATAACAGACATCTTGAAGAATAATTCATTTCCAAGCTCATTCTAAAGAGGGAAAAGTGACGACCACACACAATTTAAGAGCTGACTGAAATGATAACTTTTAAAACAATCTGCAATATTTTACCTGCAAGTTGGTTTACTGTTGATTACACATTCCCCACTGCCACATGTCTCTTGGGCGGTATACACGGAACATGCATCAGCAATAGGCACTAAAACAAAAATGGAGTTTCCTAAATTTAACTGAAACAAAAGCATGAAACTTCCTCAATAATGATTTCTGTTTACAGAAACACCGCTTCCAGTTCTATCTTTAAGGTGTTTTTTATATCTTTTTTTAATCATTTCAAGGGAGATTCAAAAAAAAATTTTAAGTGTATAAGAAGACATTTACCCACCCCTTTACGATTTTTTTATTTTTATAATAACCAATATGATGGCTTACCAGCAACTTCAGTACCATCATTGTCTGTGGTTACTATGGCAACATCTTCTGTCAATGATATCTGTGTTCCCTGGTCTGATAACACACCATTGTTCTGTGATATCTCTTGTTTCAGTAGTACAGCTGTCGTAACTGCATCTGTGTCAGTTATGGGGCTTTCATATTCTACTTCATGGGTAAAGGCAACACTTCCACGGCTACAAAATTGATGGGATATTGACAATAAGAACAGTAAGTTTCATTTGGGCAAAAATCAATAAACAGGAAACATTGTAAAATAGTAAAAATGTACTCAATCAAACACTTACAAGAATCTCAGGACTCTGACTGCTACTATAACCCTACTGGGGTCCAGTGATTTATATACTGCTAAAAGCTGAAAATCATAAAATATTCATTTAATTGAACCACCAGCATAAAAGTTGATAAGTTTAAAAGCAGTTGCAAAGGAATATTTAAAATAACTTGATTTCTCTTGAATTGGTTGGATAAGCTGAGAATCAAATTGTTATAAATAAATCTTCTCTCTCTTGAAAATATCAACTAAAAGAATATCATTTTTTTAAATTGACAATTAAGAACAAATAAAAACGTCTAATCTGTTTATATTCATTACTTACCACTTGTTCTATATCCTCCTTCAGCTGTTTTGTTTCGGGGTCATTGAGGTCATTCTTGCTATCACTCCAAGTTAAACCCTCCAGCACAAGATTGTACCTACTGTAATAGTCTCTGTCAGCTGAAATCAATGTAGTTGAGAATGTATGAGCATTGTTAGAGGAAAGTGATTCGATGTTAGTAAAAATGTATGTTACTTTATTTTACATTATTGATAATTAAATGATAATATATTGGTACCATTTCCTGAAGTTGTTGCTGCTTCAGTTGAAGTTGTTGGCGCTGGTGTTGAAGTTGTTGGCGCTGCAGTTGAAGTTGTTGGCGCTGGTCTTGAAGTTGTTGCTGCTGCGGTCGAAGTTGTTGGCGCTGGTGTTGAAGTTGTTGGCGCTGGTGTTGAAGTTGTTAGCACTGATGTTGAAGTTGTTCCTGCTGCAGTTGAAGTTGTTGGTGCTGCAGTTGAAGTTGTTGGCGCTGGTGTTGAAGTTGTTGGTGCTGCAGTTGAAGTTGTTGCTGCTGCAGTTGAAGTTGTTGGGCTTGGTGTTGAAGTTGTTGGTGCTGCAGTTGAAGTTGTTGGCACTGGAGTTGAAGTTGTTAGCGCTGGTGTTGAAGTTGTTAGCGCTGGAGTTGAAGTTGTTAGCGCTGGAGTTGAAGTTGTTGGCGCTGGAGTTGAAGTTGTTGGTGCTGCAGTTGAAGTTGTTGCTGCTGCAGTTGAAGTTGTTGGGCTTGGTGTTGAAGTTGTTGGTGCTGCAGTTGAAGTTGTTGGCGCTGGTGTTGAAGTTGTTAGCGCTGGAGTTGAAGTTGTTAGCGCTGGTGTTGAAGTTGTTAGCGCTGCAGTTGAAGTTGTTGGCGCTGGTGTTGAAGTTGTTGGCGCTGCAGTTGAAGTTGTTCCTGCTGCAGTTGAAGTTGTTGGTGCTGCAGTTGAAGTTTTTCCTGCTGCAGTTGAAGTTGTTGGTGCTGCAGTTGAAGTTGTTTGCGCTGCAGTTGAAGTTGTTGCTGCTGCAGTTGAAGTTGTTGGCGCTGGTGTTGAAGTTGTTGGCGCTGGTGTTGAAGTTGTTGGCGCTGCAGCTGAAGCTGTTGGCGCTGATGTTGAAGTTGTTTCTGCTGCAGTTGAAGTTGTTGGTGCTTCAGTCGATGGTGCAGTACACACGATACCATCACCAAGGTAAGGAGGCAAACAGGTGCAGTTATAAGATCCAATGATATTGGTGCAGTTTGCGTTGCTACTACAAGGAGATGATTCTACGCATTCATTTATGTCGCTGCAGTGTGTTCCATTACCACTGAACCCATTCTCGCACGTACAGATATAAGAACCTAAAAAGAAATGAATTCTTTATGAAATACAATGACATAGATGTAGCTCAGAGTGAAGCAGGCCAGCTATTGCCTCATCAAAATTGTACAGAAATAAATGCAAGTTAAAATCATGTCAAGGTGTAAAAGGTTAGGAGGTCCTACTTTCCATTGATTTATATGGTGACCTTAATACTACTCTCCCTTATTATCTCATTCACAATCAGGGCTAGTAAAGGCCGTTAAGAAAGGGGACCATAATCCCTGGGGACCATCATTTCTTTCACACATGCACATAGTCCCTTGCCTTTTCTGATATGACTGCATTGAGCATTTACATCCAATTTGTGTATATATGTAATATCTTACCTGGTTTATTAGAGCACCTTGCGTTCATATGACAAGGTGTGTCCAGACATTCATTTACATCCACGCATGTCTCATTAATGTTGGTGTAGCCTGACATACAGCTGCAGTTGTATGAGCCTGGACTGTTGGTACACACAGTGTTGTCTCCACAAGGGGCTATCTCAATACACTCATCACAATCTGTCAACAAAAACACATTGATAAATATATATTGTGCATAAAATACGAGTTTGTTCAAATAGTTATTTGAATTATTTAATGCTCCAATTCTTCTGGGCTTTCTTGTATTTTCGAATTTTCGAATAAATTATTATTTTGCTACACTTCTTAGTTTCAATGAAGGGGCATATTAGTAAGCAATAATGATGAGTGTATTCAAAACATACCGATGCATACTCCCGATGAATTTTTGGCAAAACCAGGCAGACAATTACAAACGTACGACCCCTGTGTGTCCACACATGTAGAATATTGCCCACAAATGCCCTCAGTTTTGTTGCATTCGTTTATATTGTCCATACACTGTTCCCCAGTCCATCCTGGCAGGCAGTCTGTACATCCAAGGACTGAGTCACATCTAGATGCACGGCCTCCGCAAGAACACATATTTGCGCACGCCATGCCCCAATGCAAAGCATCACAAGCTACAAATGATAAAGGAACACTTATATTTTCGAACACAATACTATTGATCTTTATACATATGATTTTACATTAAATTAAAAATTGTAAAAAAGAATGTTTTTATTTAATAGCATGAACATGAATATATATTGAATGTAAACTAGTGCTAAAAAGACTTTACATGGAGTATACCTAGGCCTATAGATGGTCTCGTGGATGACATTAAAGCAAGACATGCATATGATGATCATCATGAAGGACGTTACCTGTGCATTTAAACCCGTCTGTAGCTAGAGAGAATCCAGCAGCACACGAGCAGTTGTATCCACCTGCGAAGTTAGAACACGTGCCCTCACATTGATTCACTCCTTCACATTCATTGACGTCATCACAAGTGGTGTTGTCAAGAGCTAGCGTATATCCCTGCCCACAGAAACACGTGTCAGTGCCATTGATGACCTCACAACCAAACTGACACTGTTTAGTACACTGCAGCTGTGACTGGTCTACGACACAGCTGTTCGTGTCATTGGGGGTTTGGATGTATCCTGCTCTACAGCTGCATGAGAAGTTACCGGGTAGATTGGTACACAGCTGGCTACATGTATGCGTCCCTAAAGCGCACTCGTCGACATCTGTAATGAAATGGTATTACGTTTAATATGCTTTTCTTATTTTATATTGGCTTAATACTTTTCTAAAGGAATTTTGGTGTCCTGTGTGTTTCTATCTAATTATGCCTTAAATTGTGTTAGCGTTGTGATAACAGTATTGATCTAAAAAATATGAGGTATAAAATGATTCAAAAGCTTTAAAATGGATTTTGTAGCCCTGTGTTTTCAGGATATCTTCAACCTTGACATAGTAATGTGCTTTACCTTGACAGGTCCTAGCTTGTGGGTTGGGTTTAGTGTAGCCAGTGTTACATGAGCAGCTATAACTTCCTTGAGAGTTGACACAATTCTGCTCACAAATGCTGCTGTTGGTGCACTCGTCAATATCTGTAAGGTAAATGGTGTAAACTAATACTAGTATTTTAAATATAATTCTTTGGCCTGATTTTTCACAAATCATAATTTATGTGAATACATTTGCATGGCAGTTTTACTATACCCGACCTTTGATATTTTTTAGCTAGTGGTTAAGATGTATTTTAAGCATTCTAAGCAAGATTTCAATGATGAAATATTGTTTCAGTTTAAATTGATGACAGAACCAATCATAAAATAATGTATTTACCAACGCAAAACGACCCCTGTTGAGTGAAGCCAGTTGAACAGTTTGCACATCGGAAACTGACCATCTGAGCTACTTCCTCGGCTGGACTGAGATCTGTGCAGTTCATACCATTGCATGGATCCCTTGCACATCCGTCAATGTCAACGTTACAGTTATCACCTTAATAAAGAAGTGAATATATAAATATAGATCATTGGGCGATTACTTACAAGCTACAAGATGGCAACTGTACTTGTGCAGGAATTTCTACCAATTATTACGAATACTCGGTCACATTAAGGGATATTCTATTCTCTCATGAGCATAGCTAGTATTATTTATATCCATTAATTTTCATGGATTTTGGATGACATTCTAACCCATTTATTGATACATCTTGTAACTGTCTGTCATTCATTTATAATAACGTTTTTAAATATCGATTATACGATCATCAAGGCTTTTGGCAAACGGTTTGGGAATGAATTTTACAAATGGCTCATTTTAAAAGTACCTTCCCATCCTGTGTTACAGTTGCAGTCTACAATGGAGAAGTGGCTGGTATCATTGCTGCTTTCCCCTGTAGTGAAGAAATCACAACTTCCCTGACTGCTACACCCACTGCATAGATTCACCTGCACTGTGTATGTGGGGGACCTGGCACCCTGCGTGTCCTCACCAACAAAACTATAAAGAACATTATTGACTGTTAATAAAGCTGAATTTAGGGGTATGCTGTCTGATGGCAATGGCAGGCAAGATTCGACAGAGTGTTGTCCTTTTGCTACTTTCATTACACAATATGCGATGTACAGTAAAACCTGTATACAGGGAATGCAGATGGAGCCACAAAAAGTGTACACTGTAGGTAGGTGTTCACTACAAAGAGGTGATACAGGAGTCAATGTAAAATGTGTCTTGAAGGGGTGTTCACTGGAGAAAGGTGTTCACAAAGACAGATTTTAATGTACTGTGTATATATTCATATCTAATAATCTCTATCTCGAATAATGTGGTCGAAGTACATGTTGTATGGTTTGGTCTTCATTTTGTTACAGATTCAAGGAATGTATTAATATACCACTGGTATTTTATGTTTACCTTAATGTGACAGAACTGGTATCTAATGGTGTCCAAGTGAAGTAACCAGATGAGCTGTTTAATGTAGACCCAGTGATCGAATTCACGAGCATAATAGTAACAGCATCAGTGTCATTGGCCACAACAGTGAAGTCAAACATCTGCCCAACAGTGGCATTGATCATAGTAGGTACGATAAGACTTGGTACTGTATTTGCGAGGACTTGGGCATCAGCCTTTTCAGTTTCACCAACTGCCTTTGTATTGTTCGCGATCTTTGGATCACCAGTTGCCATGTAGTCATAAATGCATTCACGGGCATCTGCCGATCCACAAACTACGAGGGCCTCTGCTTGTAATTCAGCACTGAAGTCTGTGAGAAAGGTTGGACGGAAGTCTGTGTTCTTAAACGTGTCTATTGTTTGGCCACTGACATAGCGAAATATTGTATTGTTACTGGTAACTTGCCCTATAAATAAGACAACAATTACGCCTTGATAATATTGAACGTGTTAATGGTGTTAAAAGTCATACAACACACATGTCTATATGTACTGTGTTCTTAAGTGTCTACGGTTTGGCTACTGATATAACGAAATATTGTATTGTTACTGGTAGCCTGCCCTGTATATGAAAGCACACTCTTACACGTTGATAGTCAATAATGCCAAACTTCGAAAGTCATAAAGGACATTTGGCTCTTTTTTACTTACACAACTGTCCAAATCCGTAATACAACTCTTCATCATTTGAGGTGATTGGTAATACTGAACCATCCGGACGAGTGAAATCATCAGTTGTGTTTCCATTCATAACTCCTAGTAGTCCAGTTGTTTGGGCTCCAGCTGCAACACTTACAGAGAGCTGTAACATTCCAGCACTGGCGCTGACAGTCACAGAAAAACCTGTAATATATAAGTAAAATAAAACAACTGCTTTAATAGTGTAATATTGAGAAAGCCGTGTTTGTGTCTTTGTAAATTACCAATGTACAAAAATAAGGTTTCAAACACCTTTACTCGATTAAGATTGGTTGCAAAATTATTAAAAATATTTAAATTCAGATGACAATTTTCGTCGAGCATTAATGTACAACAAGGAAACATTAAGGATTTTATAAAACGGGTCTTGCTTGAGGAAAATGAAGGTACAACATTTAAACATTACTAGTATTTAAATTATTATTATTTAACTACTGTTTAGGAGCAACGCTCCTCGAGGTGCACTTATAAATGTACAACATACAGAAAATTATTTCGAACATGTTCTAGTAACAGTACCTGAGGCAAATGAAGCTGTTAGACTAGTGGAACTTTCCATTTCCAAAAAGACTCTTGTGAAACTTCCCTCGTCTCCAGTGACAGAGTTAACCAGATCTCCCACTGGGATCTGATCTAAGTTCACATACACCTCTAATCCTGAAATAATAGTCAAAATGACAGAGTGTTAGCCACAAGTTTTTCAGGTTCTATCTTATATCCGTACACTTTATATGGACTGCTGCTGATTGGTTACCATAGACTATTGTCCCCTTTTGCATGACTGTAAGTGAGTATACACCAATGAAGAAATAGGCCTAGTTGAAATTCATAGAAAGTAAAAACTAATGGAGAAGAAATAAATACTCCAAGTGATATGTTTCTAGAGTTTTACAGAAAGTTTTACAGTATAGTCACATAGCATAACCTACCTGTTTTATCCTGAGTAAGTTGTACATGTATTCGATCGGAAAATGTTTCTTTCGCTGCGAATGCACTCCACATTGTTGCAGTGATGTTTGATTCAACACGTGAAGGAGCCAAAGTGGTGCGTCCTTGTAGGATGAATGCCCCAGTGTCTAACAGAGTATACTCTCCTAGACCATTGAACGTGTATACATGACCGTCTATGGTTGTAATGTGAGGATCTCCCTTGGAAGTTGACACTGGAAAATAAGACAAAGAATTTCATATGGGCTCCAAAAATCGAATATTATAAATGATATCTGTCTAAGTCAATATTAATGGAACAAAACGCATACATATACACATATGAATCTCCATGTAAAATCATTTCCTGAGTGATTGAATTAAAATTGGTGTCTCATCTTGGACAATTGGATCACATACCTGATAATGGGAACCAGAACTGACAAGTTGATATTGGTCGGGCAGCTATAAAGTATTCACACATATCAGATAGCTCACAGCACCAGGTGAATGGTAAACTGTCCTCTCTCTGGTGCTCATTTGGGTAGATCTTCTCATGGTATAGCTGCAGGAATCCTGCATTTTGCTCGTCGATGATAAGTGAGTTATCGTCATTCCAGTAACAGCAGCCCTAAATCGTGATTAACATATTTGTATACATTTTGTTTAAAATAAGTACACGATGACGTTCTGTCGAGATCATTTATAAATTACAAAGTTGATAGCAACTATGTTTAAAAAATGAGAATATGATATAGTCACTAATAATGTTAAATATGAATAAATAATATCTTAAGTTCATTTACTTCAGAGTAAAATGTTTTATTTTCGACGTTTCACTAATTATCCAATTAGCTATATCAAGATTACATTCAAAAAATATGTAGGTAAAGGTACTTGTCAAAGAAATATACCTTTGGATGTCTTTTGGTACTTGTCCATCAATCTTTATACACGGTAAGCAAATAGACAATATGATATCAGTCTTGCACCTACCGAACTTTAACTGATCAATCAATCGGGACTTCGCGCTCTGCCCAATACTATGAAATAAACTTTACAACTGAATTAAGCCACATACCCTTCCAGCTCCAGCAACGCTCGAGAATGATGTCACAAAGCAAGTTTTCTTCTGATTTCGACTTGCTCTTCGAAAGCGAAAGTCCCTTCTGGCTTGACGTTTGCTACAAGGACAGTCAGGCAATGCCCATTCCGCTTGGATAATAGCCACTCTGTCTTGTTTGTTAATCCAATCAAAACATTTCTGGTCGTAGTTTTCAGTAGCTTCATTGTCAGTTGATAGGGGAATGAACCATTTGCCAACTTCACCTGAAACATTGAATCGATCTGCCGTTAGAAATGACAGTGAACGATAGCAATCGATCAAAGGTATCGATCTTAAGGTCACCTTTTGGAAGGCCTACTTGAATAATAGAGGAATGACAATTGTCTAACATTCTGTTTTTTAACGCTTCTACCGATATTATTTGTTGGATTTGGTTATCGCTCTGCAACTGTTGCCTTGAGTTTTTCTGTATATTTGTTGAATATCTACAATTGACAATTTTAATTTACAGGTAGTTGTGTGGTATTGTCCTTTGTATCTCCCACTTACCAGTATTGCCTTCAAATGCATCTAGGAAGAACATGAGTTCGGAGCCCGAGAAGAATGGATTGTAAAAGTTCAACCCGTCACCTGCTGTAAATCCAGCATAAGTCTTTCTGTAATCGTTGTACTCGGGGATGTAGTTAAGTGTGCCGTAGGTGATCAAGGCATATGATTTGAGAAGATCAGATACTAAGATCAATTGGTAGGTAGCATCCTGAAATATAAATGAGCATCATGAGAGATTTGATTGGTGTTTTGGAACTGCTCGTCTAGTACCGTATAATATACATTATGTAGCGTGTCATTTCTTCAGTGACGGGTTCAACTAAATTAAACAGTCCATTAAACTATCAACGAGGTCTAAGTCTTTATTTCTTAAAGAGTTCTTAGTTTGAAATGGGTAAGTACAAATTAAAATGCTTTTAAGCTTTCCAATGGTTTGATTCGATTCTATAATATACTAAGCACTTTCCCTCGGAGTTAAAAGCTACGAATCTCAGGTGTAAATGTAAAGTAAAAGATATGGTAGATGAAATACGTACCAATAACTCTGAGAAGAACCAATAAGGTTCGGGTGTAACCTTGCTCCATGTAATAATTACAGCAAGGTTAGCCTGGAATTGAGTTTCGCTATAATTCGACACTTCATTCCCAAGAGCCTCCAGTACAGCGAGAGTAGAATTGGTGACGCCATTATCGTAACGGTAATACTGCTGGTAGAACACCCTCCCTTGTTCTCCGTGTGTCAGAGAATACTGAACATAATCATAAATCTCATAATTTGGGTTAATCAGATTGGACTCAACCAGTTCTTCCCATGGTTTTGCGTAATCCTGAGCAGTCCAGAAAGGGGCAATGGTTTTGACATTGCCTATGGGAAAATCTTGCGGTCTGTATTTCTCAGTGTTCTTACTAAAGCTTGCATAGCCGTGGACACTCACCTGAAATTATAATTTCAATTAAATGTAGTTTACAACAGTGAAACAGAGTGGTTGATACAGGGAACCACTCAGTATACACAGTGTATGCACCCATTTTGCTAATCCGTCATACGGCTTTGCTTTTAATCATTTCTTTCAAACACCATTCATAAAATCAGAATATCATTGCATCAGTTGCTTTAAAATGGTGATTGTATTGAAATAACTTACATAAAGTTTCTTTTGCTTCTCTCCAAAGAATGGGAATTTCTTCTTCAGTTTAAGTTTTTCTGGTTTTTCCCAAGACGCTGCTCCAAGTTGGCTGTCACCTGCCGCAATGCCATATGGGTACATGTATCCCCCTCCTTCGAATTGATAATTAAATACATAATTAAACGTGTAATTAAAAACAAGACATTTAATATGCTTTATGCGCTTAACCTCTCTTTTGTATAGAGTATTGAGAAATATTAAAGTAATGATGAATCCGTGAACAAAGTTTCAAATTGACCAGTCCTGAAATAACTTTTCTGGAGATAAGCTTAAGATTGCCATATAAGTACATTAAACTTAACCTTTATTTTTACTTTTTAGAATGAGGTTCCTCTAAAGAAGAAGGTTTATGAATGTAAACTGTGAACTTACTTCTGCAAGAGATTTCATCGTCAGCAAGTTTATAACCAATATGGCAACTACAATCGTAGCTGCCGTAACGGTTTGTGCACACGTGATCACAGTATCCATTACTTATGAGACATTCGTTGACATCTGTAATAAAAATGAGTATATAAAACGTGATTGCATCTTTACAAAGTAGTATATAATTTAATCAATTGTTAGGTGGTTCTCAAATTTTGATAAATCAAAGGTAAATCCTCTCCAGAATGAAAAACGAAAAAATCAAGTAAACAATCAAAATAATATTTACTTGGAGATCAATAATCAGAATAAATTAAATGGATTTGGAAAATTCACTGAGCTATAATATAGGGTTTGCCTCACCTTCGTCACAATCAGCTCCTGTGTATCCTTCTTCACATATGCATGTTCCTTGTATACAATAGGCATGCTCAGGGCAATCGCAGCTATCATCGGGCGGTTCAACACCAGTCGAATTGACCATAAGCTGTACATCAATACGGTAAGTATCTATGCCAGTGTTTCCAAGCAATGGCACAAGATATAGCACTTCATCGATGTTGTATTGTTCAATGTTAATTTCAGAGGGATCACTGGTGATTTCGACCGTGAAATCAGGCTTCCACCTTCGCTCAGGAAGTGACGTAGATACTCCTAGAGCTAGGAGGGTGTCGTAGTGATATACAATAAGTTTAGTGGGAACATAAAAGGTTCCAAATATGTGTGAAATATTAATGCCAAGATATGGCAAAGGGTCAACACTACTATCAAATGGTACAGTGGGAGTCCAGCTGTCAATATTGTCTTCTGGATATACAACAAGGGAAGGATTACTGTCCATCTGGTTAGAAGAGAAGAGTGTGGTATCAACAAATTGCAGTATGTCAAATTCAACAAACGCTGAACCAGATCCACTTCCTGATAGGTCACTAGATGCACTTCCAGACTCCAATGCTGATCCTTCTCCAGATCCAGATCCACTTCCAGACTCTAATGCTGATCCTTCTCCAGATCCAGATGCACTTCCAGACTCTAATGCGGATCCTTCTCCAGATCCAGATGCACTTCCAGACTCTAATGCTGATCCTTCTCCAGATCCAGATGCACTTCCAGACTCCAATGCTGATACTTCTCCAGATCCAGATCCACTTCCAGACTCTAATGCTGATCCTTCTCCAGATCCAGATGCACTTCCAGACTCTAATGCGGATCCTTCTCCAGATCCAGATGCACTTCCAGACTTCAATGCTGATCCTTCTCCAGATCCACTTCCAGACTCCAATGCTGATCCTTCTCCAGATCCAGATCCACTTCCAGACTCCAATGCTGATCCTTCTCCAGATCCAGATGCACTTCCAGACTCTAATGCGGATCCTTCTCCAGATCCAGATGCACTTCCAGACTCCAATTCTGATCCTTCTCCAGATCCAGATCTACTTCCAGACTCCAATGCTGATCCTTCTCCAGATCCAGATGCACTTCCAGACTCCAATGCTGATCCTTGTCCAGATCCAGATGCACTTCCAGACTCCAATGCTGATCCTTCTCCAGATCCAGATCCACTTCCAGACTCCAATGCTGATCCTTCTCCAGATCCGGATGCACTTCCAGACTCTAATGCAGATCCTTCTCCAGATCCAGATGCACTTCCAGACTCTAATGCTGATCCTTCCCCAGATCCTGATCCACTTCCAGACTCTAATGCGGATCCTTCTCCAGATCCAGATGCACTTGTAGACTCTAATGCGGATCCTTCTCCAGATGCACTTCCAGACTCCAATGCGGATACTTCTCCAGATGCAGACGCACTTCCAGACTCTAATGCAGATCCTTCTCCAGACCCGGATCCACTTCCAGACTCTAATGCGGATCCTTCTCCAGATGCAGACGCACTTCCAGACTCTAATGCTGATCCTTCTCCAGATCCAGATGCACTTGTAGACACTAATGCAGATCCTTCTCCAGATCCAGATGCACTTCCAGACTCTAATCCGGATCCTTCTCCAGATCCAGATCCACTTCCAGATTCTAATGCATCTCCTTCTGCAGATCCAGACGCACTTCCAGACTCTAATGCAGATCCTTCTCCTGATCCAGATGCACTTCCAGACTCTAATGCTGATCCTTCTCCAGATCCAGATCCACTTCCAGACTCTAATGCTGATCCTTCTCCAGATCCACTTCCAGACTCTAATGCTGATCCTTCTCCAGATAGAGATGCACTTCCAGACTCTAATGCGGATCCTTCTCCAGATGCAGATGCACTTCCAGACTCTAATGCTGATCCTTCTCCAGATGCAGATGCACTTCCAGACTCTAATGCTGATCCTTCTCCAGATGCAGATGCACTTCCAGACTCTAAAGCGGATCCTTCTCCTGATCCAGATGCACTTCCAGACTCTAATGCGGATCCTTCTCCAGATGCACTTCCAGACTCTAAAGCGGATCCTTCTCCTGATCCAGATGCACTTCCAGACTCTAATGCGGATCCTTCTCCAGATCCAGATGCACTTCCAGACTCTAATGCGGATCCTTCTCCAGATCCAGATGCACTTGTAGACTCTAATGCGGATCCTTCTCCAGATTCAGATGCACTTCCAGACTCTAATGCGGATCCTTCTCCTGATCCAGATGCACTTCCAGACGCTAATGCTGATCCTTCTCCAGATGCAGATGCACTTCCAGACTCTAATGCTGATCCTTCTCCAGATCCAGATGCACTTCCAGACTCTAATGCAGATCCTTCTCCAGATCCAGATGCACTTCCAGACTCTAATGCGGATCCTTCTCCTGATCCAGATGCACTTCCAGACTCTAATGCGGATCCTTCTCTAGATGCAGATGCACTTCCAGACTCTAATGCAGATCCTTCTCCAGATCCAGATGCACTTCCAGACTCTAATGCAGATCCTTCTCCAGATCCAGAGGCACTTCCAGACTCTAATGCAGATCCTTCTCCAGACCCGGATCCACTTCCAGACTCTAATGCAGATCCTTCTCCTGAAGAATCAGTTATTTCACTTTGGTCATCAATTGTTACGAACAATTGCAAATCAATTTCATACTTTGTTACTCCAGGAGCAGCTCTTAATGGTACAATATGAATTCCAGCCTCTGAACTACTTGTGTCTCTCCTTTTGCGGATTTTATTTTGCAATAGGAAATCAAAAAGTGATGCATTAATCTCAGATGCATCAATTTCAAATGGATCACTTGTAACATTGGAAACAAATTCTGGACCCCAGATTGAACTTGGTGGAGAACTCGATAGGGCAACCTCTAGCAATGTTCTTTTATGATGTATTATAATAGATGTTATTGTAGCTGTTGGTACAGTTTCTGAAACACTTATTCCAACATATGGAAGCTCTTCTGGATTAGTACTATTTATTGGTACTTTTGGGGTCCAACTCATTGGATTCATGGACTCAAAAAGTATGGCATTATAATTGCTATCTTCTTGGTTTGAAGACAAGCTAATGTTAATAGCAGTTAAGATATCATATGGGACCATGTCCAATTGATCATCAGTATCTCCTGATTCCTCACCAGAATTACTTCCAGACTCTAATGCAGATCCTTCTCCAGATCCAGATCCACTTCCAGATTCTAATGTATCTCCTTCTCCAGATCCAGATGCACTTCCAGACTCCAATGCTGATCCTTCTCCAGAAGCAAATGCACTTCCAGACTCTAATGCAGATCTTTCTTCAGATCCACTTCCAGACTCTAATGCAGATCTTTCTCCAGATCCACTTCCAGATTCTAATGCAGATCCTTCTGCAGATCCAGACGCACTTCCAGAATCTAATGCAGATATTTCCCCAGATACAGATGCACTTCCAGATTCTAATGCAGATCTTTCCCCAGATCCAGATGCACTTCCAGATTCTAATGCAGATCCTTCTCCAGATCGAGATGCACTTCCAGACTCTAATGCAGATCCTTCCCCAGATCCAGATGCACTTTCAGATTCTAATGCAGATCCTTCTCCAGATCCAGATGCACTTCCAGACTCTAATGCAGATCCTTCCCCAGATCGAGATGCACTTCCAGATTCTAATGCAGATCCTTCTCCAGATCCAGATGCACTTCCAGACTCTAATGCAGATCCTTCCCCAGATCTAGATGCACTTCCGGACTCTAATGCTGATCCTTCTCCAGATCCAGATGCACTTCCAGACTCTAATGCGGATCTTCCTCCAGATCCAGATCCACTTCCAGACTCTAATGCAGATCCTTCCCCAGATCCAGATGCACTTCCAGACTCTAATGCAGATCCTTCTCCAGATCCAGATGCACTTCCAGACTCTAATGCGGATCTTCCTCCAGATCCAGATCCACTTCCAGACTCTAATGCAGATCCTTCCCCAGATCCAGGTGCACTTCCAGACTCTAATGCAGATCCTTCTCCAGATCCAGATGCAATTCCAGACTCTAATGCGGATCCTTTTCCAGATGCAGATACACTTCCAGACTCTAATGCGGATCCTTCTCCAGATGCACTTCCAAACTCTAATGCAGATCCTTCTTCAGATGCAGATGCACTTCCAGACTCTAATGCTGATCCTTCTCCAGATCCAGATGCACTTCCAGACTCTAATGCAGATCCTTCTCCAGATCCAGGTGCACTTCCAGACTCTAATGCTGATCCCTCTGCAGATCCAGATGCACTTCCAGACTCTAATGCAGATCCTTCTTCAGATCCTAATGGACTTCCAGATTCTAACGCTGATCCTTCTGGAGATCCAGACGCACTTCCAGACCCTAATGCAGATTCTTCTCCAGATCCAGATGCACTTCCAGACTCTAATGCAGATCCTTCTCCAGATCCAGATGCACTTCCAGACTCTAATGCAGATCTTTCTTCAGATCCAGATCCACTTTCAGACTCTAATGCAGATCCTTCTTTAGATCCAGATGCACTTCCAGACTCTAATGCAGGTCTTTCTTCAGATCCAGATGCACTTCCAGACTCCAATGCAGATCCTTCTCCAGATGCAGACGCACTTCCAGACTCTAATGTTGATCCCTCTGCAGATCCAGATCCACTTCCAGACTCTAATAAAGATCCTTCTGCATCTCCCGAAGAATCAGTAATTTCACTTTGGTCATCAATTGTTACCAACAATTGCAAATCAATTTCATAACTTGTTACTCCATGAGCAGCTCTTATTGGTACAATATAAAATCCAGCCTCTGAACTACTTGTGTCTCTCCTTTTGCGGATTTTATTTTGCAATAGGAAATCAAAAAGTGATGCATTAATCTCAGATGCATCAATTTCAAATGGATCACTTGTAACATTGGAAACAAATTCTGGACCCCAGATTGAACTTGGTGGAGAACTCGATAGGGCAACCTCTAGCAATGTTCTTTTATGATGTATTATAATAGATGTTATTGTAGCTGTTGGTACAGTTTCTGAAACACTTATTCCAACATATGGAAGCTCTTCTGGATTAGTACTATTTATTGGTACTTTTGGGGTCCAACTTATTGGATTCATGGACTCAAAAAGTATTGCATTATAATTGCTATCTTCTTGGTTTGAAGACAAGCTAATGTTAATAGCAGTTAAAATATCATATGGGACCATGGCCAATTGATCATCAGTATCTCCTGATTCCTCACCAGAATTGCTTTTTATGGGGCCAGATCCAGATATCCCTGATCCACTTTCTCCAGAAAATTCCTTGGATGATTCATAATCTTCTTTCTCCTGAACCATAATCTGCATGTCTATTCTGTACATATCAACTCCATATGGAGCTCGTAAAGGTACAATATACACATCCTTGTTAATATGGAACAATTTTCTTGGATCGATGATGAATGGGTCACTTGTGACATCAGCTATCATATCTGGTTCCCAATTTGGTCCTGGAGGTGTACTTGAAATTGCAACAACATGCAATGTGTTCTGGTGGTATATGACTATTTTCGTTGGCCTGATGGACTGTAGATATTCTTCATGGAATTTCGCGTCAATTCTCAAGAAAGGCAATGGATCTGAACTCTCTCTAGGCACTTGAGGTGTCCAACTATCCTTGTTATCTGCTGTCCACACAACTTCACTTGGATTACTATACATCTGGTTAGATGAGAAAATAGAGGGATCTGCCTTTATCAAAATGTCAAATGATTCCATATCGCCTGAACCAGATCCACTTGCAACATCACCTGACCCAAAATCTCCAGACTGTCCATCTTGGACTTTTACAACAATTATTTGCATGTCTATCGTGTACATATCAACTCCATATAGAGCTCGTAAAGGTACAATAAACATAATCTTGTTGATATGGAACAATTTCCTTGGATCAATGATGAATGGATCACTTGTGACATCAGCAATCATATCTGGTTCCCAATTTGGTCCTGGGGGTGTACTTGATATTGCAACAGCACGCAGTGTATTCTGGTGGTATATGACTATTTTTGTTGGCCTGATTGATCGTAAAGAATCTTCATGGAATATTGCATCAATTCGCAAGAAAGGCAATGGATCTGAACTCTCTCTTGGTACTCGAGGAGTCCAACTATCCTTGTTATCTGGTGTCCAAATAACATCACTAGGATTACTAAACATCTGGTTAGATGTGAAGATAGAGGGATCTGCTTTTATCAAAATGTCAAATCGATCCATGTCGATCAAACCAGATCCACTTGCAACCTCACCTGAACCTAAATCTCCAGACTGTCCATCTTGGACTTTTACAGCCATAATTTGCATGTTTATCTTGTACATATCAACTCCATATGGAGCTCGTAAAGGTACAATATACATAATCTTGTTGATATGGAACAACTTTCTTGGGTCAATGATGAATGGGTCACTTATGACATCAGCAATCATATCTGGTTCCCAATTTGGTCCAGGGGGTGTACTTGAAATTGCAACAACATGCAATGTGTTCTGGTGATATATGACTATTTTGGTTGGCCTAATTGATCGTAAAAATTCTTTGTTGAATGTTGCATCAATTCTCAAGAAAGGCAATTGATCTTGACTATCTCTGGGTACTCGAGGAGTCCAACTATCCTTGTTATCTGCTGTCCAAACGACTTCATTAGGACTACTATACATCTGGTTGGATGAGAAGATAGAGGGATCTGCCTTTATCAAAATGTCAAATGGCTCCATATCGTCTAAACCAGATCCACTTGAAACATCACCTGAACCAAAATCTCCAGACTGTCCATCTTGAATTTCTACTACCATAATTTGCATGTCTATCTTGTACATATCAACTCCATATGGAGCTCGTAAAGGTACAATAAACATAACCTTGTTGATATGGAACAATTTTCTTGGATCAATGATGAATGGATTACTTCTGACATCAGCAATCATATCTGGTTCCCAATTAGGTCCTGGGGGTGTACTTGAAATTGCAACAGTATGCAATGTATTCTGGTGATATAAGACTATTTTGGTAGGCCTAAATGATCGAAGATACTCTTCATTGAATGTTGCATCAATTCGCAGGAAAGGCAATGGATCTGAACTCTCTCTAGGTACTTGAGGAGTCCAACTATCCTTGTTATCTTTTGTCCAAACAACTTCACTAGGATTACTATACATCTGGTTTGAGTAAAAAATGGAGGGATCTGCCTTTATCAAAATGTCAAATGGCTCCATATCATCTAAACCAGATCCACTTGAAATGTCACCTGAACCAAAATCTCCAGACTGTCCATCTTGAATTTCTACTACCATAATTTGCATGTCTATCTTGTACATATCAACTCCATATTGAGCTCGTAAAGGTACAATAAACATAACATTGTTGATATGATACAATTTTCTTGGATCAATGATGAATGGATCACTTGTGACATCAGCAATCATATCTGGTTCCCAATTAGGTCCTGGGGGTGTACTTGAAATTGCAAAAGTATGCAATGTATTCTGGTGATATAAGACTATTTTGGTTGGCCTAAATGATCGAAGATACTCTTCATGGAATGTTCCATCAATTCGCAAGAAAGGCAATGGATCTGAACTCTCTCTAGGTACTTGAGGAGTCCAACTATCCTTGTTATCTGCTGTCCACACAACTTCACTAGGATTACTATACATCTGGTTAGATGAGAAAATAAAGGGATCTGCATTTTTCAAAATGTCAAATGGCTCCGTATCGTCTGAACCAGATCCACTTGAAATGTCACCTGAACCAAAATCTCCAGACTGCGCATCTTGAATTTCTACAACTATTACTTGCATATCTATCTTGTACATATCAACTCCATATGGAGCTCGTAAAGGTACAATATACACAACCTTGTCAACATGGAACAACTTTCTGGGATTGATGATGAATGGATCACTTATTACATCAGCAATCATATCTGGTTCCCAATATGCTCCTGGGGCTGTACTTGAAATTGCAAGAGCCCGCAATGTGTTCTGGTGGTATATGACTATTTTTGTTGGCCTTACTGATCGTAAAAAATCTTCATGTAATATTCCATCAATTCGCAAGAAAGGCAATGGATCTGAACTATCTCTAGGTACTTGAGGAGTCCAACTATACTTGTTATTTCGCGTCCAAACAACTTCATTAGGATTACTATACATCTGGTTAGATGAGAAGATAGAGGGATCTGCCTTTATCAAAATGTCAAATGGCTCCATATCGTCTAAACCAGATCCACTTGAAACATCACCTGAACCAAAATCTCCAGACTGTCCTTGAATTTCTAAAGCCATGATTTGCATGTCTATCTTGTACATATCAACTGCATATGGAGCTCGTAAAGGTACAATATACACAACCTTGTTAATATGGAACAATTTTCTTGGATCAATGATGAATGGATCACTTGTGACATCAGCAATCATATCTGGTTCCCAATTAGGTCCTGGGGGTGTACTTGAAATTGCAACAGTATGCAATGTATTCTGGTGATATAAGACTATTTTGGTTGGCCTAAAGGATCGAATATACCTTTCGTGGAATGTTGCATCAATTCGCAAGAAAGGCAATGGATCTGAACTATCTCTGGGTACTTGAGGAGTCCAACTATCCTTGTTGTCTTTTGTCCAAACAACTTCACTAGGATTACTATACATCTGGTTTGAGTAAAAAATGGAGGGATCTGCCTTTATCAAAATGTCAAATAGCTCCATATCGTCCAAACCAGATCCACTTGCAACATCACCTGAACCAAAATTTCCAGACTGTCCATCTTGGACTTCTAAAACCATTATTTGCATGTCTATCTTGTACATATCAACTCCATATGGAGCTCGTAAAGGTACAATATACACAACCTTGTTAATATGGAACAACTTTCTCGGATTTATGATTAATGGATCACTTATTACATCAGCAATCATATCTGGTTCCCAATATGCTCCCGGAGCTGTACTTGAAATTGCAAGAGCCCGCAATGTGTTCTGGTGGTATATGACTATTTTTGTTGGCCTTATTGATCGTAAAAAATTTTCATGTAATATTCCATCAATTCGCAAGAAAGGCAATGGATCTGAAATATCTCTTGGTACTTGGGGAGTCCAACTATACTTGTTATCTTGTGTCCAAACGACTTCATTAGGATTACTATACATCTGGTTAGATGAGAAGATAGAGGGATCTACCTTTATCAAAATGTCAAATGGCTCCATATCGTCTGAGCCAGATCCACTTGCAATATCACCTGAACCGGAATCACCAGACTGTCCATCTTGAATCTCTACAACTATAACTTGCATGTCTATCTTGTACATATCAACTCCATAGGGAGCTCGTAAAGGTACAATATACACAACCTTGTTAATATGGAATAATCTTCTTGGATCAATGATGAAAGGATCACTTGTGACATCAGCAATCATATCTGGTTCCCAATTTGGTCCTGGAGGTGCACTTGAAATTGCAACAGTGCGCAATGTATTCTGGTGATATAAGACTATTTTGGTTGGCCTAAATGATCGAAGATACTCTCCATGGAATGTTGCATCAATTCGCAAAAAAGGCAATGGATCTGAACTATCTCTAGGTACTTGAGGAGTCCAACTATCCTTGTTATCTTTTGTCCAAACAACTTCACTAGGATTACTGTACATCTGGTTTGAGTAAAAAATGGAGGGATCTGCCTTCATCAAAATGTCAAATTGCCCAATATCATCCAAACCAGATCCACTTGAAATATCACCCGAACCAAAATCTCCAGATTGTCCATCTTGAATCTGTACAACTATTATTTGCATGTCTATCTTGTACATATCAACTCCATATGGAGCTCGTAATGGTACAATATACACAACCTTGTTAATATGGAATAATTTTTTTGGATCAATGATGAATGGATCGCTTGTGACATCAGCAATCATATCTGGTTCCCAATTTGGTCCTGGAGGTGTACATGAAATTGCTACAGTAAGCACTGTGTTCTGATGATATATGATTATCTTTGTTGGCTTAATGAATTCTATATATTCTTCATGGAGTTTTGCATCAATTCTCAAGAAAGGCAACGGATCTGTACTATCTCTTGGTACTTGAGGAGTCCAACTATCCTTGTTATCTGGTCTCCACACAACTTCACTAGGATTACTAGACATCTGGTTCGATGAGAAGATAGAGGGATCTGCCTTTATCAAAATGTCAAATGGCTCCATATCGTCTGAGCCTGATCCACTTGCAATATCACCTGAACTGGAATCACCAGACTGTCCATCTTGAATCTCTACAACTATAACTTGCATGTCTATCCTGTACATATCAACTCCATATGGAGCTCGTAGAGGCACAATATACACAACCTTGTTGATATGGAACAATTTTCTTGGATTAATAATGAATGGATCAGTTGTGACATCAGCAATCATATCTGGTTCCCAATTTGGTCCTGGGGGTGTACTTGAAATTGCAACAACATGCAATGTATTCTGGTGATATAAGACTATTTTGGTTGGCCTAAAGGATCGAAGATACTCTTCATGGAATGTTGCACCGATTCTTAAGAAAGGCAATGGATCTGAACTATCTCTAGGTACTTGAGGAGTCCAACTATCCTTGTTATCCTGTGTCCATACAACTGCTCCAGGATTACTTTCTATCTGGTTGGAAAAGAAAATGGATGAGTCTGCCTTTATCAAAATGTCAAATTCAGGTTTTGATAGGTCCCCAGATCCATCACCTGATAACTCTCCAGATTCAGAGTCATTGATTTGCTTTACAAGTATCTGCATGTTAATCTTGTACATTTTAATATTACTTGCTGGCTGAACTGGTACAATGTATACCACCTTATCTATATTGTAAAAAGTCTTTGGGTCTATGCTAATTGGGTCACTCGTTACGTTTATGATAAAATGAGATTCCCAATTTAAACCTGGAGGGAATCGGGATATAGCAACTTGCTGTAGAGTGTCCTGATGATATATAACTACTTTGGTTGGTTCTAAGAATCGTATTAAATCAACATGTTCAGAAACATCAATTCTGAGATATGGTAGCGGCTCGGTAGAGTTTATTGGAACCTTTGGGGTCCAACTCTCTTCATTTCCAGGAGTCCATACAACTGCACTTGGGTTACTGTCTTTTTGATTAGAGGTGAAAATAGTAACATTTGCAAGAATCAAACTGTCAAATTCATTTTCAAATCCAGAACCTTCTGGCAATTCCGTTGGTTGAATAGTTGATTTAGTTGTTTGGACAGTTGATTGGTTAGTTGTAGTTTTCGGTACATGAGTTGGCACACTACTTGAAACAGTTGGCGAGTGGGTTGTATCTGTTTGTCTACGTGTTCGAACAGTTGCTGAATTGGTTGTAGTTCTAGGTACATAAGTTGACACACTTATTGGTACAGTTGGTGAGTGGGTCGTATCTGTTGTTCTACCTGTTGGAACAGTCGATGAATTGGGTGTAGTTTTCGGTCCGACAGTTTGCCCACTAGTTTGATCAGTTTGCGAATGGGTTATATCTGTTGGTATACTTGTTCGGACATTTGGTGAATTGGTTGTAGTTTTCGGCTCGAGAGTTTGCACACTAGTTTGAACATTTGGCGAATGGGTTATATCTGTTGGCCTAGTTGTTTCAACAGTTGGTGAATTGGTTGTAGTTCTCGGGACATAAGTTGGTTCACTAGTTGGTACAGTTGATGAGTGGGTCGTATATGTTGGTCTACTTGTTGGAACAGGTGGGGACTTGGTTGTAGTTTTAGGTCCGAAAGATGGCGAATGGGTTGTATCTGTTGGTATATTTGTTGGAATAGTTGGTGAATTGGTTGTAGTTTTCGGCTCTAGAGTTTGCACACTTGTTGGAACACTTGGCGAATGGGTTATATCTGTTGGTCTAGTTGTTTCAACAGTTGGTGAATCGGTTGTAGTTCTCGGAACAAAAGTTTGCACAGTAGTTAAAACAGTTGTTGGTATTGTTGTTTTTGGACCACAGTTGAAATCATCCCATTGTTCAATCTGCCCATCAATTGTGCAACGTGCACCATAACACCAATTGTCCTGTTGCCCAGAGGCTTCTGGTATATCTTCACCAGGACTATAAAATTTGTCACCATACTTGCACCCTAACGGGATTGTGGTCTGGGACGGAATTGTAGTAATAAAAACAGTTGTTTCTCTATCTGGAGTTGTTGTAAGAACAGTTTGCGAATTGGTTGTTAAATTTGGTACACTTGAGGGAATAGATGGTGTATTAGTTGTGGTTGTTGGGAGACTACTTGGAACAGTAGGCACCATTGTTGTAGGGCTACGATGACATCTGTCACCAGTGAAACCAAATGGACACGAACAAGAATAATCATCTACTCCATCCAAACAAGTAGCTCCGTTCTGACATTGATGATTTACGCAATCATTAATGTTGGTCTCACATCTATCTCCAGTAAACCCTGTTAGACAAGAACAAGTATAATCATTTACTCCATCCACACAAGTAGCTCCATTCTGGCATTGATTATTTCTGCAGTCATCAATATTGGTCTCACATCTGTCTCCAGTAAACCCTGTTAGACACGAACAAGTATAATCATTTACTCTATCCACACAAGTAGCTCCATTCTGGCATTGATTATTTATGCAATCATCAATGTTGGTCTCACATCTGTCTCCAGTAAACCCTGTTAGACATGAACAAGTATAATCATTTACTCTATCCACACAAGTAGCTCCATTCTGGCATTGATTATTTATGCAATCATCAATGTTGGTCTCACATCTGTCTCCAGTAAACCCTGTTAGACATGAACAAGTATGATCATTTACTCTATCCACACAAGTAGCTCCATTCTGGCATTGATTATTTACGCAATCATCAATGTTGGTCTCACATCTGTCTCCAGTAAACCCTGTTAGACACGAACAAGTATAATCATTTACTCCATCTACACAAGTAGCTCCATTCTGGCATTGATTATTTACGCAATCTTCAATGTTGGTCTCACATCTGTCTCCAGTAAACCCTGTTAGACATGAACAAGTATAATCATTTACTCCATCCACACAAGTAGCTCCATTCTGGCATTGATTATTTACGCAATCTTCAATATTGGTCTCACATCTGTCTCCAGTAAACCCTGTTAGACATGAACAAGTATAATCATCTACTCCATCTACACAAGTAGCTCCGTTCTGACATTGATGATTTACGCAATCATCAATATTGGTCTCACATCTATCTCCAGTAAACCCTGTTAGACACGAACAAGTATAATCATCTACTCCATCCACACAAGTAGCTCCATTCTGGCATTGATTATTTACGCAATCTTCAATATTGGTCTCACATCTGTCTCCAGTAAACCCTGTTAGACATGAACAAGTATAATCATTTACTCCATCTACACAAGTAGCTCCATTCTGGCATTGATTATTTACGCAATCATCAATGTTGGTCTCACATCTGTCTCCAGTAAACCCTGTTAGACACGAACAAGTATAATCATCTACTGCATCCACACAGGTAGCTCCGTTCTGGCATTGATTATTTACGCAATCTTCAATATTGGTCTCACATCTGTCTCCAGTAAACCCTGTTAGACATGAACAAGTATAATCATCTACTCCATCTACACAAGTAGCTCCATTCTGGCATTGATTATTTACGCAATCATCAATGTTGGTCTCACATCTGTCTCCAGTAAACCCTGTTAGACATGAACAAGTATAATCATCTACTCCATCTACACAAGTAGCTCCGTTCTGACATTGATGATTTACGCAATCATCAATATTGGTCTCACATCTATCTCCAGTAAACCCTGTTAGACACGAACAAGTATAATCATCTACTCCATCCACACAAGTAGCTCCATTCTGGCATTGATTATTTACGCAATCTTCAATATTGGTCTCACATCTGTCTCCAGTAAACCCTGTCAGACATGAACAAGTATAATCATTTACTCCATCCACACAAGTAGCTCCATTCTGGCATTGATTATTTACGCAATCATCAATGTTGGTCTCACATCTGTCTCCAGTAAACCCTGTTAGACACGAACAAGTATAATCATTTTCTCCATCTACACAAGTAGCTCCATTCTGGCATTGATTATTTCTGCAGTCATCAATATTGGTCTCACATCTGTCTCCAGTAAACCCTGTTAGACACGAACAAGTATAATCATTTACTCCATCTACACAAGTAGCTCCATTCTGGCATTGATTATTTACGCAATCATCAATGTTGGTCCCACACCTGTCTCCAGTAAACCCTGTTAGACATGAACAAGTATAATCATTTACTCCATTTACACAAGTAGCTCCGTTCTGACATTGATGATTTACGCAATCATCAATGTTGGTCTCACATCTATCTCCAGTAAACCCTGTTAGACACGAACAAGTATAATCATTTACTCCATCCACACAAGAAGCTCCATTCTGGCATTGATTATTTACGCAATCTTCAATGTTGGTCTCACATCTGTCTCCAGTAAACCCTGTTAGACATGAACAAGTATAATCATTTACTGCATCCACACAAGTAGCTCCATTCTGGCATTGCTTATCTCTGCAGTCATCAATGTTGGTCTCACATCTGTCTCCAGTAAACCCTGTTAGACATGAACAAGTATAATCATCTACTCCATCTACACAAGTAGCTCCATTCTGGCATTGATTATTTCTGCAGTCATCAATGTTGGTCTCACATCTGTCTCCAGTAAACCCTGTTAGACATGAACAAGTATAATCATTTACTGCATCCACACAAGTAGCTCCATTCTGGCATTGCTTATCTCTGCAGTCATCAATGTTGGTCTCACATCTGTCTCCAGTAAACCCTGTTAGACACGAACAAGTATAATCATCTACTCCATCTACACAAGAAGCTCCATTCTGGCATTGATTATTTCTGCAGTCATCAATGTTGGTCTCACATCTGTCTCCAGTAAACCCTGTTAGACATGAACAAGTATAATCATTTACTGCATCCACACAAGTAGCTCCATTCTGGCATTGCTTATCTCTGCAGTCATCAATGTTGGTCTCACATCTGTCTCCAGTAAACCCTGTTAGACACGAACAAGTATAATCATCTACTCCATCTACACAAGTAGCTCCATTCTGGCATTGATTATTTCTGCAGTCATCAATGTTGGTCTCACATCTGTCTCCAGTAAACCCTGTTAGACATGAACAAGTATAATCATTTACTCCATCCACACAAGTAGCTCCATTCTGGCATTGATTATTTCTGCAGTCATCAATGTTGGTCTCACATCTGTCTCCAGTAAACCCTGTTAGACACGAACAAGTATAATCATTTTCTCCATCTACACAAGTAGCTCCATTCTGGCATTGATTATTTCTGCAGTCATCAATATTGGTCTCACATCTGTCTCCAGTAAACCCTGTTAGACAAGAACAAGTATAATCATTTACTCCATCCACACAAGTAGCTCCATTCTGGCATTGATTATTTCTGCAGTCATCAATATTGGTCTCACATCTGTCTCCAGTAAACCCTGTTAGACACGAACAAGTATAATCATTTACTCCATCCACACAGGTAGCTCCGTTCTGGCATTGATTATTTACGCAATCATCAATGTTGGTCTCACATCTGTCTCCAGTAAACCCTGTTAGACACGAACAAGTATAATCATTTACTCCATCCACACAAGTAGCTCCATTCTGGCATTGATTATTTACGCAATCATCAATATTGGTCTCACATCTGGCTCCAGTAAACCCTGTTAGACATGAACAAGTATAATCATTTACTCCATCTACACAAGTAGCTCCATTCTGGCATTGATTATTTCTGCAGTCATCAATGTTGGTCTCACATTTGTCTCCAGTAAACCCTGTTAGACATGAACAAGTATACTTATCTATTCCATCTACACACGTCGCTTGATTCAAACAGGAATGATCTTCACAATCATTTATATTGGTTTGACACTCCTCACCTGTGAACCCAGTTGTGCAGGTACACTGGAAGGAACCACCCCCTGTGTTGGAACACCCTGTGGAATGTTCTCCACAAGGATTAGATTCACACGGTAACGCTGGAAAACATATGGAAGATATCATGCATATTTTACATCAGAAAAGTTGATAGAAATAACGTGACGATGTTTGGTCATTTGGGCATGTTAAACTGATTGTAAAGTAATCACACTATTCATTTTTTAATTCTAAGCGTAAATTCTTACATGAATCGTATATACATATATATCTGAAAGGATATTCTATTTTGTAAGTCGCAGTGTTCTATCAGTTGAACAGCTTATTCGAAAATAACAGATGGGACATACCAGGGTGTGTATATGTCATAATTCTATATTTTGCACGAAGAATATGTACAAATTATATATTAAGAAACTTAAAGTACGTACCATCATTACATTCAATAGTTAGACTTGGCTGGGGTACCCATCCATTGTTGTAGACAGTCCAATCTAACGTAATAGATTCAGGTGCAACAGCTGAATCAAAAACGTATGCGAAGTACGAAGTTTGTCCAACAGTGTTACTTATAACCCAATTGCCACTAGCGTCTAAGTAATATAAGTAGTAGTTTCCTGTAGTGTATGTTGCTCGGTTAGACAGTGGGTCGTTCCGGTTGGTGAATATTCCGTTTAGATCTACTAAGTTAGGTGACTCTATCCCCGAGATTGTAAGCTCCTGGCAGTCACTTGATCCTAGTGGGAAAGCACAAACGACAATTACAAAAACAAAGTAACCTATGAGCGTTCACTCAGACTAGTAAGGTTATACATCATGAAAATATATATGAGACTTATGATTAAAACTGCAAAAATATTTCCGTTATTTATTTTCATCAAATATTTTATGAGAGGATTGGAGCATACTTTGATGAAATCAAAAATGGCACCACGAGTAATCACTGGACAGAGAAACTGTATGAATCTACTAACTATTTTAAAACACAATCTAAGGCCTATAATAGAATGGAAAGTTGAAGTTACCTTGATAACAAGATATCGATATATCAGACATAACTATCCAGATTCCATTGTAACCTTCCAATGGGGCTGTAATATCCTGAGGTAGGGCGACGTCTTCATTGATAAGTATCCCATATGAGTTCTTCCCAGCTTGATCACTTAAAACCCAACGTGAGTTGATGAAATAAAGATAATTATCGCCTCCTTCTTGCATGTATACGGGCCTGTCATTGTATGTTGTACTTTGAAGGAAATACAGCCCAAGTCTGGATGCCTGTGGTGTGCTAGATGTTAGTGTCCCTCCTATGTAAAGAGTTCCACAGGCTGTTCCCGGGGGTGTGGTTGTTGTTGACACAGCTTGTGTAGTTGTAGCGACAATTGGGGCGGTAGATGTGGTTTCTTCAACTCTAGGCGTGGTTGTATCTGCAGCTTGGATATTACAAAAGGATCCAAAGAATCCAGCAGGGCATATACATGTATAGCCATTTATACCATCTACGCACGTTCCTTGGTTGGTGCACTGATGTCCAACACATTCATCAATATTAACCTGACACATGTCTCCCTCAAAGCCATCCCTACACGAGCAACTGTAGCTAGTGCTATCCTGAATGACACAGGTGGCTTGATTGAGACACTGATTTCCAGCACACGCATCGATGGTTTGGCATTGATCTCCGGTGTAGCCATTTTGGCACGAACATGTGTACGTATCTCCTCCGGTATTGGTACATCCAGTGGAGTGTTCTCCACACGGATTTGAATCACATGGTTTAACTGAAAGTATAAATATGTGTGCTTTACAATTATATGATCAAAACGTATCCTACCAGAGTCACTTTTTAAATAAAACCATGCACAATTAAGATAAAATGAGAAGAGTGGGTAAGCTGGTGTATTAGATACTTGGACCACTATTAGATCTTGAAATGTAGAGCTGCATGAATTGAAAGATTAAGCTACACGTTTCTTAGACAGCCTGCTCGTGAACATGTAATATTACGAAGCAATGGGATGACTGTTCCACTCTCGATTGTTTTTCCAGGTATCTTATTACAACTAATTCCCTTTTACCTTCATACCCAATGAGTCGAGAATTACGAAGAAAGGGAGAACTTATCCTTCAATATGCGTAATTCTACACGTGCGCGTTCCAATAAAAACGTGAAGCTTAATCTCCATAACATCTTACCATCATTGCATATGATGCTCATCCCTGTTTGGGGAATCCATCCATTGTTATAGAAGTTGAACGTCGATGTAATTAGATCAGGTGCAACAGCCGAGTCAAATGTATAGCCGTAATAAGAACTTTGACCCACTGAAACTCCGAAAACCCATTGCGAATTGCCTTGTAGATAGTATATGAAATAGTCGTCATTTCCATTGGCATAAGTTGGTCTGTTGGAGATATCTTCATCTCTGTTTACGTATATACCATTAAGAAAAGACGCTGTCACTATACCGGTCACGGTGAGCTCTTGGCAACTTGCAGAGGCTGAAATAAAAAATATTTTCCATATGTATATTGATGTTTGGATAAATCCCCTTTGCATATCACCTTGATAGATGTGACTACTGATGTACGATTTAAATGCAATTCTACAGAGATTAGTCAGATGAAAAATGCAATGTTCGTGATTGTGAATAAATTGTTCAAAAACAGTTACCTTCAAAGCATGAGATTGATATTCCATCCATAACAACCCAACTTCCATCATATCCTTGTAGAGGATACGTTATTTCCTGTGGTAGGAGTACTGCTTGGTCAATGAGGATACCATACGCTGTATTCCCCACTTGTCCACTAATGACCCATTTAGACGATGATGTGAGGAAATAAAGATAATTTGAACCACCTTCTTTAACGTAGACCGGTCTATTAGAGTATGTGGTGCTATCCAGGAAGTACAGGCCTAATCTACCCGACTGAGGCGTGTCACTAGTTATTGTACCACCGATGTTTAAAGTTGGGCATGCCCCTGCTATACCTAAACTGGTGTAACACTCAGCTCTGAAACCTGATACATCCGTCCAAACCCATGAACCTTGGTCGTCTGGGGCATAGGTTTGCCAGATGGCGCTGCTGTCAATTTCCTCTGGGGTAATTGCTGAACTTGGCACTCTGAGACCAGGGTAGCCACCTATCGAGTCCCCGGCGTACCAGAAACGTGTTGTCTCGTCCACTAATGAATGGTAAAGATAATGTTCCCCCGTTTCATGAATATAGACAGGGCGTCCATAATGAAGACCACCTTGGAGATAATACACTCCTTGATTTGCGCGGTTATCAGAGCTTCCATCTAGGATAAAAGTACTACATGGTTCGCCGCCACGGTAACAAGTGAACTGTATCGAACCAGTTGTAACTGTCCAATCGTTTGGAATCTGAGTAGGGTCGGTTTCGGTGGTTGTAAATGGTGATGTGAAGGATTCTGAAGGTGTTGTAATTATCCATCTTTGGTTTGCCATTTGTAAAGTAATTGTTCCAGCATCTGTATTCCGTGTGTAGATTGGTGGATCAGTATCTCCCGATTTCAGGTAAGGCCCCAGAAGGTATGAATTGCCCCCTGTCCTGTCGACTCCACTCAGCCAAATGCTTTCACAAAATATAGCACATGACACACCAACATTTGCTTCTTGTTGCCACGATGAACCATCAAAACTCATCCAGGATTCGGACACAGCATTGGGGACATCAGCAGAACTCGTGACTATCAAACCACCGCTTGATTCACCAACTGTTGGTCCAAGAATCCACATTCCCGACTGGTAGTAGAGGTATTCCAACTCTACCATGTGTCTGTAGACTGGTTTATCGTTCCACATCATGGCCTGTATCGCATACATTCCCTCTCGCCATTGTTGATTCGTTGATGTCACACCTGATATCTGAAGCTTTTCACATGCAGCACTTGTTGTTTCTGGAAAATATTTCATTCGATTATTTCGATTTCTGGAAACGATTGGGTTTGTACTTTGTACATATTCTTTCAAGTAAATCTGTAGGATAGTGCTTTTAGTAACACCTTTTTGTATTTTTAATTGGACGGTTGCCTTTAACAAAAATACAAACTACAAACAAATTTCAACAATTTCATATTTAAATATGCATGTCTTGGCCATTTACTTTTTGTTTATTCACGATTGGATCATGATTTGTCTTCATGGTACGGGTCTTAATTTTTTAGATCGTATCATTTTCTTAATTTCAGTAAAACAATTATTGATATCATAAGGGCTTAGATACCATGGCTATTGGTAACATTACCATTGATAATATCATAGTAAAATGCATTTTGTGCCCCCTGTATTCTCAAGGTCAATTGTTGTGAACGTATGTGATTGATAATGTTTATTCACTTTTATTACAACATGTCATTTCCATGAAGTGCACACAAGCTTTTGGATTTGTGTACACACTCAAAACTAGGAGTCAACATACGACGTCATTTGGGATACTATGTCAACATACTTTTGGTGTATTTTACATAGAAAGCTATTCCTAAGAGTAATTCTTAAATTGTTCGTATTCACTCCTATTGGTTAAGCCTTGCCCTTAGACTAGGTGCTAATTTCTTCTTTAAATCAAGTCAAATTAAAATTTTATAGTAAACGCCTGGACGCCAGCCTCCGCTTCCCTACGAAAAAATCCACCTAGTCAACAATTCAATGTGCCACGTCTCGATTTCTTTTAAATCATGACTTTACATGTCAAAACCCAATCTGCTGAGTGGTGACTTGGACTTACTTTGCTGTATGTGGTACTTCATGTTGAATCCCTGGTTGGGAAATGCTGTCTCTCCAGCAAATATGGTGTTAGATCGAAACAGGATCATCATCTGAGAATCCCTGGACACAAATCTTGTTGTAGGAGTTGTGCCACAGCAAAACCTGAAAGGAAACATGGATGATGAGTCATTATTGGTACGGTTCGTAACGGCCGTGTCATATTATCTGGAATAGATTTTTAACTTGCCTTCTCGTGACTTTTTCTATTGACTAAAACCTTTGTGTTTTACCGAATTTTGTTATTTTTTGACTAGATTCAGGGGATGTTTAAAAAATTCATCTAATTTCAAATATTTTATTGGAAGTACAATTTAGTGTAAAATGTTCCACAATAAGATAGGTAAGATGGAACCTGGAAGGAAACGTGGATGATGAGTCAACATAGGGTGTCCTGACGGTTCGTACGTCTGTGTCATATTATCTGGAATAGATTTTTTGACTTGCCTTCTCGTGACTTTTTCTATTGACTAAAACCTATGACTTGAGTTTTACCGAAATTTGTTGTTATTTGGCGAGATTGAGGAATGTTTATCATTATTATGGAGCTTAATATTCTTATTTTATGATCATATAACAGTGAGCATTTGTTATTGGGTCATCGTCAAAAATGTTACTCCCTAATGTGTATTTGTATTGTTTTATACAATTCATTCAACTTCAAATATTTTATTGATAGTACAATTTAATGTAGAATTTTCTACAATTATATCCATGAAACAAATGACAAACTATCAGCTCAAACTTTGAAATTAATAATAGTTAATACAGTAAAGTTGTATTTATATATATTCAACAAAGAACCATTCAAAACCTGGTTCACTTACGAAATAATATTTTGTTTGATTTGAAATCCCAATGTACACTTCTTACTAAATATTAAAATCAATATCATTTGTACTCTATCTGGCATTAAATGACCACCGCCATAGAAATGTGTTTCTCATAAAACTGGCATCGTTGTTTCATTTAATGGCGCTCGAACTTTTAAATACGTTTTTAATGTTTAGCATTGTCACCACAATAATGATACTAATGCATTGTCGATTTAAGCGCAGCACATTTTACATTTTTCAGCAACTTCTGTATTTAGAAACATTTACCGTGGTCCAACGTAGCTGAGGTCTTCATATCGAACCTCTACCCAGTCCCTGTCGCATGTTCCTGTTGATTCACTAACACAATCCACGCCAAACTCTCCACTGAAATAGCTCACTACTTGATAACCCTCAGGAGCCTGCAAATATATTGAAAAACATTACCAAGCTATTACTGAATTCGCTCTAACAAAAACAAACCACACATTTAAATCATTATTGCATCATTTTGTTTATTGGAATGGTCTCCTTTTTGTGAAAAATGGCAGGTGGTGAGATTTTGCATGTTAACCTTTTTTATTTAGACTAAGACATAAGGCTACCACCCAGATAGTGATGGAATTGTGGAGAGATTGAATTGTATGTGTTGGTAAACAATGCTTACCGTGATTGTCCATGAACAAGCCATATCTTTGCTGTAGCCAGTAGGGTATGAAGGACTGTTGAATTCTTGCTCAGTGGAGCCGGCAGTTAAAGTACCACCACAAATCGCTAAAATACAAAAGGAAACATACAGACTGACTCACATTAACTCTTCCGGAAATATTCTTATTGTGCAATTTAATTGATTGTGTATCAGTAGAGTGAAAACAGGGGGGATATCTCAAAGTTTCGGATTGGTGGTATCCATCTGATAGATCCTTAGACGGCTTATATAACCATGTAGGAGAAGCTAATGGGAAGCCTCTGATACAGAGTAATACAATTATGGGAGTCACTCACTTTTGAGTAGAAATGAAAGAGACTTACCATTTACCCCAGATGCAACATCAGAGCAAGTATCCCCAGTCCAACCGTCCGGACAACGGCATTTACTACAGTCGTTTGGATCTCTATAACCGTCATGCTCGCATTCACTCCATGTCAGACGATTGAAACCAGCACATCGATCTACATGTAGAACACATTTCTTATGAAAAATGCAAAAAATAGAAACCCATACGTGACATACTGAAATATATTGTAATAATTAATATAACGGTTCTAACCATGAACAGTCACACTTAGTCTTTGTCATTTCATCTTTTGACACTTTATTTACTGTGTTTTACAATGTTGTCACTTTTTTTATTTGGCTTAGTCGCTATCAATTCAAGTAAATACTTAAGCTGCGGCACTTACCAGCACAGTAATGGAAGTTGAAAAGTTTTGCATCATAAAACGTCAGCCCAGTTTCAGCTCCCATGACGTTCTCGTATAATGGGTTCTTGCTTGTCATAACAGTGTCGCCATTGCTGCTAAATGACTATAAAAGTGAAAATAAGAAGAATAAATTGTGCCAAAATGACATAATTGAATATTATAACAGGGGTGCACTGGCGGATCCAGAAGCTAACAAGGGGGCCCAAATTTCTGCGGTTGCTCACTCTGCGCCCACCCAAGGTGGGGTGATTTACACCAATACTTAATCACAGCAATACTTATACAATCACTTGGCCGATGGCGTGGCCTATGTCGTCTGTTTGAGTCGCATGAACTTCTTTACAATTTATGAATTTATATAAAAGAGCGTTTTACATTACTCTTGTATGCAACAAAAATAGTATAACCTCATTTTCGAAGCGCTTCAACTCACCCTTTTATCATATTGCATCACTGAACTGAAATCATATTGGACGTTGTACTGCACTACCCTTGAGTAAGACTCTTTGTTATAGTTAGAGACTTTGTCACTTTGCACGTTGTCGATGAGGATATTGATGAAGGAATCTCGATCAGGACGGCTTTGTTCGTGGAAGAAGCCCATCGAGTGTCCAATCTCGTGTTCAACCGTCGCCAGCTAAAGTTTACAATTGTATTTTTGTATTTCTATCTCAATGTTATAATTTAGATTTTGTTGATACCAGGATACGGAATTATGTTATTAATTGTTGACGTAAAAAAATGTAAACAAAATCCTTGCATTATAAAGTTTGATCAAACGGGAGTTATGAAAATGCTTTTGAGAATAAAAATCGACTCTATTGGAAATAAGTTAGGAGATATAGCGTGGTACATGTACATACCGTAACACAGCCAGATCCTAATGACACAACATTCGCTTCGTCCGTTGTCACGCCAACAGGGGATAGGCACCTAGAAAGAAAGTTATGACAGAATCTGATTTGTATAAAACATAATTATTTGAGATCAGAGCCTGTCATCTCAGTAGATTCAGGCCCCCTGACCTCAATAGATTTTTAGTCAGTAAACTTGATATTCAAAACAACACATTTGCAATTTTTTCATTGTATAATATAATGTTTGTTTATTTCGATTTTAGATATACAAAATAATTCAAAGGACTTGAGCCTTACCCGGTATTTGGTTGAAACTTGAGGGCTGGTGGTGATGTATCTGCAGATTCAATGTAACTGGCACAAGTTAATTGTGACCATTCCTCCAACGCTTGTCTAATCACAGCTTTTTGTTCTTCCGCTGAAGAGCAAGGGATTCATTAGTCAGTTTTACAGAAATGGAAAGGGGACAGCATCTTTTCCATTCAATCGAGGTTGGGCTATGCAGTCGAAGGTAAGTCATACAACCGAAGGTAAGCCATACAACCGAATTTTGCCGATTCAATCTGGCGGAGAATGGTCAACGTTTTGTTTATTCCAATGGAGCAACGAAGACTGTCAACAGGTCAATGGAAAATAATGTTCGGTTCAAGGAATAAACATTAAAGATTTTTTGTTAGCCCATGAAAGAAATATTACCAACGTTGTCTTGACTAAGAGTCAAATGGTAAGCAGGTATAAATCAGATAAAATTGTTGGGTAAACTTGAATGATTCTTTATAAACTAGTTTCATTGAACTTTTGAACTTGACGGTTTCCTTTCCAAAAACTCTTATACTCGGTAAGAGACCACCTTCTAAATCAAAATGGAATGTAGGTTGTGACGGGCACTGAACATGTCAACTAAAACAATGCATAAATATAACCAAGAGAGAGAAATCAAAAGTGCATAAACTGGCAGATCTGAGGTCGGACCGTCAGATATGCCTCCGTTTTGGAGAACTGGGAATTTATGGATGGGCCAAACAATTCATAATCGTGGTTTCGAAAATGATTTAAAGATACAGATAATCGTGATCATCTTTTAACTGAATCAAAAATCCTAAATAACAGAGCCAAAGCTTTTGTTGGGCTTTCGTTTTTGAAACATTAATGACCAGTCTGCCAAATGTTCAATGTCAATGTGTTGAAAATTACATTTTTTGTCAATAGTGCACATTTTTTCTACCGACAGACCTAAGAAGGTGTAGAAATACATCTGCCATAGTACAATGTCAATGTTACTGGAGTAATCCATCAGATTTGAATTTCCCAATTATGACTGAGTTGTCCTTTTAGGAAGGGGGGAGATAAGGTAATGCCCAGAGTTGTACAATGACTGGGTGGGGGGGGGTGAGATTTCAATACGTTGGCCAAGAAAGTTGTCATATGGTGGAAGAGATTTTTACTTAAGGGAGTGGGAGGGGTAATATGTTGGAGTTAAGGACCACCCGATAAGTTTCTTAGGTTTATTATTTTCTAGTTAGAAAACATAAACGTACTTGAGTTTCATCCAGAAAAGAGGGTTGACTGCAAAAAGATTTCAATGCCAACATTTCTTTTTACACACTTAGTAGAAAATTCTTTGGTATTTCAGTTCACGTTTGATATGAGTTTCTTTAAAGTACATGACTACAATTGCAACAAAGGGTTTATTTTGAGAGTTTATACGAGTTCATGGACACCTTATTATTTCATTTCGGTCCTTTCTATGACGTTAATTATATGCCACCTCTGTACAATTCTAAACTATTTGGTTCTTGTTTTTGAAATCATAAAGCATAGCATTGCATGCAGCAATTCATAATGAAATAAAATGGTCTTTGCATTCATAAGTATTCGCTAATAAGTCACCTTTATAACCACTAAAGTTGTACTTTGAGAAATGCCCATAGCCACTTGTAAAAGATGTTAATGTAATACAACCTTTTCAAAAGATGCATGTCTAAATATTAAAGTTTGGGAACTGAATGTCTCAGAAGTTGACAAATAATTTGAATCAACTTTATATCATTCCTGAACACACCCGATCGAAACATCTTGAGCCCTTACTTTGCCTAACAAATAAGGAAAAGATCCGCCACGGGATGTACTGGCTTCTCTTTAAACATCACAATAGGAAACAGCATTTACAATACCCGAGTGTACTCTACCTGTCACATACCACCCTTGGTCCAAGGGTATTTCAATTTATATCAATGAGCTTGGACAGTGATGCCCGATCCTGAAAGATGGTCATGACGATAGTTTCGAACAAAGATTACATGACATGATATGTGTACATAACGGATAATGTCTTAAGGCATTCTCCAAGTCATCCTTGGCGCCAAGAGTAATTCATTGCATTACACTGCTATGAAAGCAGTGAAGGACCGATCTTGAAGGATGTCTCTAAGTCATCAGCACCACAATCATATACAGGGTGTCAAATAAATATGTTCTTCCCCATTAATTTCAAAAGTATGAACTTTTGTGAAGGTGCTCCACAAAGCCTTTCTTTATTGTGCCAAAGAACAATTCAGATATCATACAGACAAATAAGTTATGCAACATTATGCAGATGTTAAAGCTGAGCTAATATTTATTTGACACCCTGTATATGAACTTTGTTGTTGACTCAGAATGTGACCGAAATATATTGTTGGTCCGATTCAGATGGGATAAGACATTTGGACACGGGGATTAAATAACATAACATCGATGTACTTACTATATACATTATCTATACTGTATCTAATGGGGAAACTCCACTTTTCCCCATTGATCAATTTCCTTTTGACTCTATGATGCAAGCTAGTATCACGCTTAGTCCTCAATTTATGATATTTCCGAATAAGTTCATTTACATTAGGACCATAACCTTGAGAGGTTAGTATATTGCCATTTATATCAGCAGTATCTTTTAAATGCGGAGCATTTTGTAGTATATCCAGTGAATCTAGAAGCTCGATTATTTGCTTATGATTTAGTTTAATATCTCCTTGGAATGAATCGCTCGATATGTTGAGTTGTTTCAGAATGTCTTCTAATTCTGAATCTGTTATTGAATCATATAATAAACTAGGGGACATTGGCCCCCCTGGACGGATTCCTAATTTGTCTGATTTTTCTGGTAAAAGAGTTGCCATCCATTGCGCCCTGGTAAATTCCAAATGGAGGCACACTACTACAATGATGATTACACAAGCGTATTGCACACTATTTCTCGACATTCTGGTATTTAAGAACGTCATCCTTCTTCCGTTCTAAATGAATACTCCACTCCTTGGACAGTTGGGAAAGTTATATCCATTTCCCCAAATCTGCTTCCATTTTGTTCTGAAACAATTTAAAATCGTGATTACTTTTTGTAATGATGATCAATGAGTTTTTCCTGACATATGTAGCTGTCAATATATTCCTACACATGATGTACAGTCATATCAAAGTCATATTTATATAATGTTGATAAATAAAAATATTTCAACATATTTCATTTTTCACTGCTTGATACTATGTGGATAAGCTTGAAAATTTGCCAATGACTGGCCGATGACCGAAGTAACGCTCTGTCCAGGAATAAACTGCTTAATATAAATTCAATTGAATCAATAATTAATCTAATATCATGTTTTAGAAAAATTACACAAATCCCATTATAATTCTTTAAATGTATGGAAATGATAAGGTGAAACATACCGTTGGAGTTGAGTTTCCAATCTATCCGCTCGTTAGATCAGCAACGCTCAAGGAGTAAGGTAAATCACGATCAAGAAATCACGACATGAGCACTGATTGTTGGTTTTAAGTTTTATAATAAGAATGCTCGGTGGGTTACACCCATTTGTATAGCTATTGAAAGGGCTTCCGTACACACAGAACATAATGTATTCCATGAATAGCAAAGAAAATTGTTTGAATTTTGATTTAATAAACGCACCGAGTCAAACGGTAAATAGTTATCTAAAGAAATCAGAAGGTCATATATCGCTAATTGAATGCGGAAATCTTGGAATAAGAAACACAGGTACACACATACAAGTATATCTGGAATATTGGACATTTCACAAAAATCAGAACCCCTTCTGAACTTTGATAATCGGGATAGTTCGATTGTATAAAAGTGTGCAAAACTGTCTTCTCTAAAATGTCCAGTTAAAAAGTAATTCAAGGAGACTTATATCAGTCTCATGCATACATGTATGGTACCGGTGTAAAAGGGTAGGAGGTCCTATCAATTTATGGTCCTACTCTCCATTGATTTATATGGTGACCTAAATACAACTCTTCCCCTCATTATCTTATACGCAATCAGGGCCAGTAAGAGCCGTTAAGAAAGGGGACCATAATCCCTGGGGGACCATCATTTCTTTCACACCTGTACTTTAACAATCCCAACAGTTTTAGAAGATTCTCTCGAGTTCTTCCTGGAAAATGAAGAAAGTTGTTTTATCACAAAATCGTACGATTCGTTTTTCAGAATGTAAAAACATGTGAAAAATTTCGTTTCATTAAAATTTGAGACGACATTGATATCAAGAAAATCTATGAAAAATTGGAAAACATTCCACATATTTGAGCAATGGTGCGTATCATCAATTCACCTGTGACTAAATTTCAATTAATTTAATTATAATTAAATATAGTTAAAAATATTCGTGACGGATAAAAGTAACCACATCTTGGAAAGTAGTTTTGAAAATACTTAAATATTTCAAAAATAAATCATGAAATAAAATGTGATTTTAGGTCAGACGTTCAGAAATTCCTTAATGAATGAAAATAAATAAATCGTGTTTTATAACACAACAGACCCAATACAATTGCCGAAGGTGTTATATAACTATTGATAACATGGCTTTATGAGTTACATATGTATTGATACATTATAGGCGTGGTGTAGCTAAGTGTGGTGTAGCTAATACATGAAATAAATAAAAGCTCAAATCTTAATGGATCAATAGATTTTGACCTCAACACCATTTGAATTGCAAGTTCAGACTGAGACTGCAATATTCCATAGTCAGCGTTTGTTAGAAATATGTCAACTTGAGTGATCGGAGTGACATCTTTAAAACAAGTCAGAAATATAAATTTTCTTATCTGGCTGTTTTTGTGAAAAAGTTTTTCATCTGGTAATCACCGGTAGTCTCCAAAGCCCCGCTATGGTTTCAAAGTCGCGAACAGGTACCCGCTGAAATCGCGAGGAATAAAAAAGGTTATGGGTTGTCTTTTGTTTACTTGAATTGTATGATGTACAAAACGTTTTCTTTTAATTTTCCCCTATGATTACATGGTTTTGAGACTAAAAAGCAACTGCTGAAAAAAAGTATCTCGAGCGGTCGTTCTGTGGTTCTTTTGACAATTGTAGAGAGAAAGAATCATCTTGAATCTTTATTTATATTTTTATATACGTTATAGGTGAAGAACGACGTTGTCCTGTGGTTGAAATAATGATAGTCATTTGAAATAAAAATGTCCTGACTTTCACGTCCTAAAGCTTAACAGAACACATGAGGACCCGCTGAAAACAGGAGCAAGTGTCTCTCAAAATTGGAGTGAATCCTGATTATACCGTGAAAATCTCTCACTATCGTACCCAGCTTGATCCACTATTGTAACCAGTTTCATGAACACATCATTTGTTGATACAATTCTCAAAACAGCAAATACAACTGTATTTATATTGTTTATATTGATTATGATACGTTGAAATGGAAAAACTGCAGTATGATATTCGTTTCCATTTTCCAGAATAAGATAGGTCATCTAAGAAATGTGATGAGTATTAGATCGGATGAAATGAAATGCACGCACGAACGAACGGTCGAACGAAGCAAGCACGCACGAACGAACGGCCGGTAGGACGAACGCACGCACGCACGAACGGATGAACGTACGGACTAAAGAGCGGACGGTCGAACGCCCGAACGGACGGTGAGACGAGCAAACGTACGAATGGACCGCCGGGCGGACGCTGCCACGAACGGACGATTTGATGATCGCACGCACGATTGTACGAACGAAAGATCTCACAAATGCACGCACGAACGGTCAGAGGAACGCACGCATGAGCGAACGCACGCACGAACGGACAGTCGGACGAACGCACGCACGCACGAACAAACGGTCGGACGATCGCACACACGAATGTACGGTCGGAAGAACAAACAAGCCAATAAAATATATATCCTCAGAAGTATACTCCTTGGGAGATTGAATTATGTAGAATTTACATTTAATTGTGTCCTATGACGACGCTGACAGATGAATCAAACTGCCTGAAGTTGCAGAAGATATACAGATATATTAGCAATGTTGCCATAGAATGATGTTATGTGATGTTGTGTTATTGGCAAGTTCTTGAACGTTCATGTAAAGAAACTCAATATCTTCATGGAATAATAATGAGGCTTTCCTCGCGATCAAAGCGGGACCTCCTGTTTTCAGTGGGGCCTCCTATTTTTTCAGCGGGGCCAGTGAAATACCTCAAATGAAGTATTTCGACCCTATGACAGACGTAATTTTACAGTTACTTATCAATACAGACCATATTGATCCAATATGTATTACAATGTATTATGGAGTATGTAAATCGTATTTATATATTCAGTTAAAATAAACTCATGTTTAAAATGAATAAAATATTTATTAAACTTGTTACATCAACTTAAACACAAAGTGTTAAAATTAACAATTGATGACAGGATATTCTCATCTACAATATAATGTACTTTACTCCTTTACATTATCATGTACTGCACTTAAATGAATATTCTCATTTACACTATCATGAACTGTACTTAAAGGAATATTCTCCTTTGCACGATCATGTACTGTACTTAAAAGAATATTCTCCCTTACAGTATCATGTACTATACCTAAAGGAAAAGTCTTCATAAATATTATGATCTAACAATAAACAGTTCATGGTTTTATACATTGTAACTCATTGTCTGATGATCTCATCCAAAGGGTATGACCCATAAAAGATACATAGCAAGTTCAAAATCATTAAATTGAAATTGATAATATAGCCATTTACATGTTCTATTCAAAAAGGCCCCACTGGATACCTTTATAAATACTAAACATGGTAGGGCTACCATAATTCTTATCTGACTTTCAACCATATTATCTAATATATACAAAGTATTAGGACAGAACTTTAGACAATGGCTTACAATACATGTACATGTTTGGGAAGAATGTTCCTTTAATATGCAGTGCACAAGTATTCTGTAGTCTGCAAGTGCGGCCCGTTGCCCGGGCACCCGCGGGTACTAGCCCCACGGGGCAAGCCATATTCGGGCCTCGGGCCACTAAAGTCCCTGTGGATTAGTGTTAGCGTTTTCCGTTCAGTGTATACAAGTTAAAACATATTCCTCCATATAGGTATTGTAATTGAAAGATGATAACTTTGTCTAGTTCAACCCCAGGGGAGTTACATATTCACTTAAAGCAATAAAGTTGTGCTTTTGAAACATTATATTCTATTTGGGTTATGTTTGCAAGCTTCCATCTGTTAATAGATTGATTGATTTGCTAATTTGTTAATCATTAGCCCTTCAAGCATAAATCATCAGAAAATGGTTAAGCAATATTAACAAGAGACACTTTATTCAGTATTATCATAATGTTCATTTATTCAATTGTATTCATGGTATCATTCAAACTAAAATTGAAATTACAGCCCGGCCCGACCCGAGGCCCGAAGCAGTTTGGCCCGGCCCGATGGCGCCGACCCGAGGGCCGCCCTAACCACACCTAATACTGAACGCCTCCTTATTTCATACACCTTTTGCTGGTCTTTGGGGCGTTCAGATAAGTAAAGTTTTACTGTGTGAAAGAAGATTATTCTGTCGAATCGAAGTAAACAATTAGGCCTATACCGATAAATGATCTTTGGTCTCAAAACAGAAAACTGAGTGATTTTTGCCTCTCTAAATTTGGAACAAGTTTTCTACTCTCTGAGACTGAAGATTAAATCATCCGCTAATATAGTTGGCTAATATAGTTGAGTTGATAACAATAGTAATTCAGAGCATAAAAAGAAAAGTTTAATTGCAGTGATCTCCCCAGCATTAAAGCAAGTGGGCATATAGCACCCACCTGAGATTTTAAAAATAGGCTTGCACCCAACTGAAAATGCATTTACACCTACTTGACAATGAGAAAAATTATGAAAAATTGGCATGTTTTGACTGAATTTGGTCTGAATTGTGAAAATGAGAAAATTTTGCACCCACTTGAGAAAAAATCCTGTGGAGAACACTGAATTGAATTTTTTTGTTTTAGTTTTTGAGAAGAGCGATAGAGGGAAAAAATGTACGCAACCAAGACAGATATTTAAATATTGAACATAAAATTGATTGTAGGAATTAAAAATGAGAAGTTTAGAATAAAGATGATTCAATAAAGAAATTGTGAAGTTTTGTTAATATTATAGAACTACAAGTATGAACTTAAAAAGTCTTACAAAAAAGATTAACAATTAAAAGTTTTTTCTGTATTTTAAATGATGATCTACTACAACTGTTTTACTACAGGGGTTATATAAAATGGCATCTTCAAATGCAAAAGTGCTAAATGTCGGCACAAGCGCCTGCTTTTGACTGATTAGAAGGTCTTTGACTACTTTTCTTCATCTAATTTGTACTGTAAATATTACGATCACTTTTTCTGTATTGCTATTATTTATATTGCTTATACTGATTAGAGATTTTAAATAATGATTTGAGTTTATACAACTATAAGCAATAAATATATACACTTCACACTATGTACAGAGCACACTTTTAATATGTTGAGGATCTAACTGAATCTAGGGATTGATCTACATTTTCCTTATTCAGTCCCTCAAGAAATACCCCTTGCATTGCACAATATTTCAATCAAATGCAATATAGTTATCAGCTATCTCAGTGCTGCAGTGTTAACAAATAAGATGAATATTGCAATCGATCTTTGAATACAATCATATACAACTGACATACCTTTAAAAACAATGACGCCATCTTGGCTTTACATATAATATCAAACGTAAACTCCTCTTAAGCATATTCAACTCTCCCTGTAACATTTATTTTTGGCTGTTTTTGATTAACCTGGAGCAGTAAAGAAACTAAGAAAACGATTATAGTTGACTATTCCACATAGTCTGGCTGTAGTTTAAGGCAGGCCATAGCACTTCCTCTACTAATGTTCCTGTATTACTGGCAGCTCCACCAAGTGTCAAAGTAAACAAGTCAGACTGCCATTCAACACAGTGAGATAATACCATGGTAACTTAAGTAAACATTCCATATAGTGGAGTGATACCAAGGTTAGTAGGTGGTTCACCATCACATTCGACTGCAATATGAGGCTTGAGAATTTCCTCCAGTGATGAATCTGTATTGTATTACTGGCAGCTCCACCAAGTATCAAAGAAAACAGCAATATAATTAGCTATTCCGCACAATGGAGTGATTCTATGGTAAAGTAGGTGGGGCACAATCACATTTGACTGGAATATAAGGCCAGAGCATTTCCCCTACTGATGTATATGTATTGTATTATTGGCAGCTCCACCAAGTATCAACGTAAACAATAATATAGATAGCAATTCAACACAGTGGAGTGATTCCATGGTTAAGTAGGTGGGGCACCATCACATTTGACTGGAATACAAGGCCAGAGCATTTCCTCTATTGTATATGTATTATATTACTGGCATCTCCACCAAGTATTAAAGTAAAGAACAATATAGATAGCTATTCAACACAGTGGAGTTATTCCATGGTTAGGCGGTGCACCATCATCTTTGACTGGAATACAAGGCCAGGGCATTTCCTCTTCTGAAGTATATGTATTGTATTATTGGCAGCTCCACCAAGTATCAAAGTAAACAACAATATAGATAGCTATTCAACACAGTGGAGTGATTCCATGGTTAGGCGGTGCACCATCACATTTGACTGGAATACAAGGCTAGAGCATTTCCTCTATTGTATATGTATTGTATTACTGGCAGCTCCACCAAGTATTAAAGTAAAGAACAATATAGATAGCTATTCAACACAGTGGAGTGATTCCATGGTTAGGCGATGCACCATCATCTTTGACTGGAATACAAGGCCAGAGCATTTCCTTTATTGTATATGTATTGTATTACTGGCAGCTCCACCAAGTATCAAAGTAAACAACAATATAGATAGCTATTCAACACAGTGGAGTGATTCCATGGTTAAGTAGGTGGGGCACCATCACATTTGACTTGAATATAAGGCCAGAGCATTTCCCCTACTGATGTATATGTATTGTATTACTGACAGCTCCACCAAGTATCAAAGCAAACAGCAATATAATAAGCTTTTCCACAGTGGAGTGATTTCATAGTTAGGCAGTGTACCATCATGTTTGACTGGAATACAAGGCCAGAGCATTTCCTCTACTGATGTTTATGTATTGTATTATTGGCAGCTCCACCAAGTATCAAATTAAACAGCAATATAATAAGCTTTTCAACACAATGGAGCGATAGCATGGTTAACTAGGTGGTGCACGATAATTTCTGACTGAAATATGAGGCTGTGGCATTTCCTCGACTGATGTATCTGTATTACTGGCAGTGGCAGCTACACCAGGTATCAAAGTAAACAATACAGTTAGTACAGCTAATCCAAACAATATACATGCCAGAAAATAGCGCATTTGCTTCCCTGATTTGTCCCAACTGAACTTTGAGTAAATAAGTTCAACTCTTGGTTTTATCTTTAAGACCTTCTCAATAAATGTCTCTCTGCTCTCACTGAAAATACAAGGAAAATAAAGTTAATTTTTATCATATCATGGCAGGAACTACCTACATGCTATATACAACATCAAACAAAGAGCATTTTTTCAGTATTTATTGAAAGTGCTGTTTTTTGCATATAAGCAAATCAATATAGTACAAAGGAAAAGTGTGGTGAAAATAATGAGCTAAAATAGGGAGTATTTTTTTAAAAGAAGTCAGGGTTGTTTGAAAAATGGGGGGCAAAAATCAGGTTTGTTTTCTGGAAAATTGGGGGGAAATCAAGACTTCAAGAAAAAATTGGCATTTCAAAAACTCATTCATGAATTGGAAAAAACGGGAAAAATAAGAGTAAGCAAAACAATCAAGAGGAAAATTGGAATTTCAACTGTTTGAAATAATCTGGAGAAGACAATTAAACATTAACGTGCAAAATGTCATCACCTGCCTTTTGTTACAGATGCCGAACACTGTCCACAAAAAAGTTTAAGACTTGTGTTGACATAATAAATTCGCAAGATTATTGGAGAATGGACATCAACAACTTAAAAAGTAAACAAATGCTTTCCAGTCCCAATTTATCGATAGTTCACTGACGCACATGTTATAGAATCTCTTAGTTCCTATATAAATTTTGACGCAAACACCTTTAACCAATTACAGTAAACTTCATCATCTTCGTCATCATGGGATATCATATTATTGACCGCGTATGTTACTGTACTACACTTGTGAATTATGAGGAATATGACGTCATAATGTTTACAGAAAAAACATGGTAGACGAACATTTTGTAAACTTTGATGAAAGTGATATTTTGTCTTTACTAGACGACAAGTATAGCAAAAATACAAATAGAAACGTAAAATAAACATTAATTTTCTAGTGAGTACGCAGTGATGTGCCGAAAACAGAGAGTTTAACTACCACTGTCTTCAGATTTTCTTAAAAAATTATTGCTGTCGTGGTTCGAAGAAAAGATTGTGAAATGAAGCCATGATTGATGATTATAGTCTATATGTGTATTATTAGTTTCTTCTGACTAACAAAACAATTGTAGACCTCTCCATTCGGTCAACCGTCAAAATCATATACCTTCGGTCTCTGTCAACAGTAGTTTCTCAGTTTACAGTCTCGGTATACAATTTTGTCGGTTGACCTCTAGAGAGGTCAACAATTGTATATTGTACTGTGCTATACATCAAAGGAAACCTTGTAAAAGTTTAACAGCCATCCAACATGGTTTAAGACTGGGGTTGTTACAATTGTGAATCACCATGTTTAGACAGGAACATGTCAGGTGTGTGTTGCTAACTGTCAGCTTCTGTCCCTGTAGGGGGAGCCATATTAGCAATCTGAGGGATCGGCTCACAACATGAACTTCCCTCAAAAGAAGTAATTGTATACATTTTTGGTTAGGGGTAAAGCCTATTTAATTTGATTTCAGGATGGCATATTTTCTTGCATTCCTATGGATCTTATATAGCAATGTGAATGTTTTGTTTCAAAGGGATGCGGTTGGGAGTTTCTTAAAGGGTTCCGATTAGCATCCCGTATAAAAAACAATATGGCGGCTCCAGGCGAATCAACTGGATCAGTCCATTTTTAAGAAATAAGGGGAGTTCTGTAAAATCCAGTTTATTGAAATTGTCTTTGAGATAAAGTAATCTGTTTATAATGATTTTGAAAACGTTATCCAAAGAGTGATTGCGTTCAAATAATACATGTACAACAGCCAATATAAATTCTTGTATTAGAAACCGGTTTGTCTTGCTTTGTTTCATTTGTAGGATATTTCATATGCCAAGCTGTGTGCTATTACGTTATGGGGAAATTTAGATGCCAATTTTTCCTTATTATACACAAATAGAAGATCCTGAAACTTCACCCATAAATGTGGAATTGATTTGTCAAAATAAAAATTACCCTTTTATAAATGTGTGACGATCTATAATATACTTATGCTATATAACAGTTAGAGGTGTTGACACAACGACCTCGAACCTGTGAACTACTGTGAACCCTTGAGTATTATTCCGGGATCGGGCCTTTTATACTAAACGGTGAGCAACACCAGAAACGAGCGTTCGATTTGCTAAATGATATGCGTCACCCTTTAAAAACAAATATCAATTAAGATTTTTCATGGATGTTGATTTTTTGACCTGACCCCTAAGAATGGAACAATAAGACCGACATACACATACATTTTTATTCTATTCACATCATTGACTGGCTGGACTTCTAATAATGGTAAGGATTTAAGAAGCTATTTTACCTAACTTTAAATAAATGTTAGAACACATATTCCAGTAAGAAGTTGCATTTAACATTGAGGCATATTGATATTGACATTTTTACATCTTGTAGATTTAAATGTATTCATAATTGAATTTAATTTTCATAAAGGATAGGTAAAAGATTTCTCATCGGATTCTCCTTTTATAAGAATCAAACAGATCTCTGGTTTGGATTGAAAAAATATTGTTACACAATGAATTTCAGATGTTACGCTTAGCTGTGTTTGGAATTCTGTGGGTGATGACAAATGCCTTCACTAATATTTCACCCAAACCGAGTAAGCTCAATTATTTTAAAAGCATTAAGTTATTTACTGTTTTAATTCAAAATGATGTACTTATTATTGAGATTCAAGCTAAATTGTGATTGAATAAAGTTCATCTATCTTTTACATTGAACAAACAATGTTATGACACTCTAAAGAGATTGTTTATCATATTTCAGCATATCTTGTTCCCGACGTTGGTGAGTTAAAAATAAATCTAAAATATGTTTATGTACAGTCAGTATAATAAATATTAGGAGTATTGAGGAGTAGTTTGAAGAAAAGAAAAGATCAGTTTTAGCTATTTTTCTTTTCTGTTGGAATCAAATAAGGTAATAAAAATTAATGGTTTATGTAATGGTTCATAAAATTGAAAAGAGAATCTGGACTTGATTTGAAGATAAATCAATGCTTATAAATAATACACAAATAAATTAATTAATATCTGATTCCTTCTGCATTTGCCAGCCATAGTAATGACATGTAATAATTAATTTCTAGCATTGTGTAAAACTGGGTACTACCAACTGCCAGATCAGCCATGTTGCCGCTATTTCCAATGTCTTCCAGAAACTTTAGGTGAACTGTGAGTAGTTCATTACGGGGTATAATTTAAGTACATGTATATTCCCTATTGATAGGCATAGACTTCTGATTAACATGTGTTCAAAAAACTATACTCACAAAGAGAAGTGTTCAAATACATAAGTTTTACTGTATTTCTTTCATATTCTAGACGTGCATATAACAGATCATGTCCAAGACCCCTGAAGTGGAATAGTGCCACTTGTACATGTGACTATAGCTCTCGTTTTATACCAGAAGGTTGTGTAGATTCTGAGGACTGTTGGGGTAGGTAGTTAAGTTCAATTAAATATGGAACCATTTGGTGGGCTCACATGGTGACATTGTTACAGTGATCTCCCCAGGATTAAAGCACGTGGGTGTAGCACCCACCTGAGATTTTGAAAATAGGCATGCACCCATCTGAAAATCTATTTGCACCCACTTGAAAATGAGAAAAAATCATGAAAAATTGGCATATATTGACCAATTTTGGTCTAAGTTGTGAAAATGAGAATTTGCACCTACCTGAGAAAAAATCCTGGGGAGATCACTGTGAAATTGACATGAGGATTGGTTCAAATGAGTGGTACTTTACATTTGTCTAAAAATAGTTGACAGGTGGACAGATTAAAAGATGGATGGACAGCCAGATGGACAAAGTTGTGTTCCTATATGCTTACTGTGTCACCATGTGAGCCAAAATGCCCAAGATAATAAAAATATTTTTCATTCAACTTATACTAAGAAAATAATTCATAAAGATTATCATAACATATATTTTAATAATTGAAATGTACAAATCTCATCATTATGTTTTAAAAATTCAACAAAACATCAGCCAGGTTAAAACCCTAAAACCATATTCATGTTATTCAGATGATCCTGTTGCACCAACTGATTGCCCAGATCCCAGTGAACCATGGAACACTGCAAGTATGCATGACAACATTCTCGTATATGTTCAATACTGTCTTTCCTAAAATAATTTTATCAAATAGATATAAAGGAGAATTTGTATGCAGATAAGCCCTTTCATGTAGTGTACACGTATATGTCAAAAGTATGTGTTTTGAAAAATCATTAAAATCTGATTTTTTATTGAATTTCAGTGTATGCCACAGTGTATACTCCATTAAGTCTTTTACAGAGTCATTCTATGATAATAAACTTGATTTCACAGAACAATGTTGCGAGAAAGGTGTAACTTACAATGACCACAGCTCAGGTTTTGGACGGAATTACTCCAGTGTTGAAGGGGACCCCACCATGTATGAGTTTTGTGGGGAACTAAATGAATGTCCCTATGGACTGACATTCAGTGTGCAATACTGTGCATGTGACCACAAAAAGGGTTGGTATTTCGGTATTCATTCATGGAGATTTCATTAACAAGGCAGTAACATGTAACAAAATATCACAACCTGCCATTTGTTACAGATATCAACCTCACTGCCGAACACCCATTGCTGGACACTGAACACAAAAAATTTTGGAGACTTAAACAATATGTCATCATATAACACCACTTCAGAACATAGTAGCATCTACATCTTATAAACTCCATGTTATGTAATACTAACTTTCTCAAAAGCTCAATTTATATTACTCAATTTTGCTACCCTAAAACAGTTCTTTGATATTCTACAATGACATTTTATCAATAGGTGGCATTGGATGTCTCCTTTGGAACTTTGACAACCCTAGCCCCCTAGTGGATGTCCACCAAAATGTACTTATGACTCCAGTCAACTGTTCAGCATCTAATGGGCAACTCAACTGCCCAGGAACAAGCAGTTCTAGCCAACCAGGGGCAGAGATATATGTCTTACAAAAAGGTGAAGTTAATTATGAGAACTTTATGAATAATGTTTTATCTGAACAAACAATTTCAGAGTAGATTTTAAAAGCACTGGCGGATCTGGGGGAGGGGGGGGGGGGCTGGGAGCCCCTACCCCCTTGGGTGAACCCAAAAAAAATTTGGGGCCTAAAAAAGTGGGACTTTTTGGTCATTATTGGGCCTTTTAAGGCTAGGCCTTGTGTTTTAATTTCAGGCCAAATTTTGAAGAAAATGGGCCTCAAAATTTCAAAATTTGGGTCCACTTTTGGGTTTTAGGGGCCCAAATGTTTTCTTATCATTTCTGTGTCAAACATTATATATAGTCTTTAATGTTTATTCTATAGCATTTTTATTCAAAGAATGAATCTCATTTTCCATTTCAATTTAGCGTACTTGGGTGTGGCAGCTACATTCTTTGGGAGATTTAACTCAAGTGGAAATGTGATGGTAATGTCCAATGAAAGTCCTGGAAATGCAGCAACTGTTTCAATTGAACTGGTTGGCCAAACACTCATAGCATCTTTCAGACTGCCTGATGATTCTGTTGACACATGTCAGGTGACATATGTAAGTTCATATTCCTTACAATGGTTTGATTTTGCTTCAATAGTGGGCTTTGTCTAGATACTATTTAAGAGGCACTAGTGCTACTCAGTGCTCATCCTTCATCATTTAATTAGAAACATAACTTTTTGGGTTATCCACTCCTTCAAACTTGGACTATCGCAAAACTGTACTGTGAATGTTTAGTGGAAATATATTTTAGGTCTACATGGTCAGCTTTCATTGAAGGAACTCTTAATTTTAATAGGGGTAGGAGGCGGTATAACTCTTGAAAATCTCAATTTTGCCTTCATATCACAAATTGTTGAAAACTTTGATGAAAAATGTGCCATAAAGAGTACATTCAAGCACACATCCTAGTTTTCTGCATGAGAAAAATGCAAATTCTGCGCAGAAATTCTGCATGAAAAAGCCAAATTCTGCACCAAATTCTGCATGAAATCTAAAATTCTGCGCCAAATTCTGCACGGGGAAAAGTGAAATTTTGTGGCTCAAGTATGTGCAAAAAATGAAATTCTTGCTAAAATCAATAATTTTTTCCAAAAAATAATAATTCAAAATTCTTGAACTCCACTCATGCTGCTTTATTCAGCGATAATGGACAACTGCGGTAATAACATCAGATGCAATTTTAATCAATTGGCGACAAAACTTACCAAATGCTCACTTGTGAACTATCACGAAATTCAAAGTATCACGAAATTCCAGATCAATATGCAGGGAATTCAGATGTCGTTTATTGATATATGACGAAGTAAAACGCAAGAAGAAGCATGATTTATTGCGTTAGAATACAAAAGAATACAATATTAGACATATTATTGCAAAACAATTACGAGGGACAGTCATCGGTTTCAAATTTCGTGATTATGTTAGATGCAGTCTTACCTCTAAGTGCAAAGGTGGAAGTTCGAGAATTTAAAACAGATTTCAGATTTCCTCTTGAAAATCTGACAAAACACAAGTATCTGACAACAAACGAGCGGAGTCTTTGGGTGTTTAGGTGAGTGACAAATATGAGATGAGATGGTTGACTGGAAAAATCATGTTTTCCACGAAATTCTGTGCCAAAACAAAAATTCTGCAAAAAAATGAAAATGCAAATTTCTGCGGTTTTTCTGTGGCGACGCGGAATCACGGAATACTAGGATGAGTGTTCAAGCTTTATGGAGATGTTTCATGTTTTTTGTTTCTATGTTTGTATATTAACTTTATTCTAGAATTTCAACATACTTTATGACAGATGGTTCGTCTTAGCAGTTGATGGTGGGAATGTAAGACTGGCATTTGGTGACAATGATGGCTTTGCTGACACACTATGTGTAAAATCGTCATCATGTAAGTTTACTTCATGATATACAGTATACCAGGACTTTCAATAAGTTCACGGGAAAAATGTTCTCATTTCAAAGATTTTTTATATTTCCTCATGAAATTTCCACATAATGTGTAAAAAACATTTCGTTATTGATTCATTAAATATCAGTATCTCTAATTTCATTGGTAAAAAATAATGGTTACTATGGTAACTTGACTTTTGGGTAGGCGGGGCACTTTTTAAGTCATATTATATGTACATATACGTATATACATGTGTACATCTCATATAACTATTGCTATTTATTTACAATTTTAGTCAACCTTGTTTCGAATAAATGTCCTCTTGGGCTTGGGTTCCAAGACACAGTATATAAACAGGTGAGTGCTTATCATTACCAATAGGCCAGGTCGAGAAGAAGTGTTCATTTTGAAAGGTTTTCAGATTAGAATATACAGGCTTTGTTTACTGATGGACAAATTACACTGAAGTCAATGAGAGAAAATAGTATATCCCCTCCTGGCCTAATATTTTGAACATTTAAAATAATTATTTTATCTACTGTACATGTATATTTTAACAGATTGCGTATTACTGAATAGAACATTCAGTTTGTTAATTATGTTTTTAGTTTGGATTCTGCCGGTTTGCTTGGACTCAAGGAGACATAGCGACTTACATGGCTGACCCAAGTGTAATTGGGGAGAACCCATATACTTCAAGTGGCTCATGGAATGTATTTGATCCATGGCCACAATAAAAGGCATTTACGAGAATGTGGTCCCCAACTTGATCTGATTTTTAATACCAGGCTTTTTCCCTGTTCTTCTTATAAAATTGTAAAACATAAGCCAAATGAAATATCCTGTAATATTATTAAGAAATAAGAAAACAAGATTTTGGGATGATCACACCCCTAAACAGATAATTCTTAACTTGTAAGGGCAAAAGGTCCAGATGATAAACAATGCAGAGATACCAGCATTATATTCTTGTAATAGAATGGTTATGATGTTAAAATAAAGATACATGAAAGGCCCATTATTGCCCGATATTGTTAATTTAATGAATTTACATAGAATTCCAATACCATAAAAGGTTAAGCTTGACATTAATTTTGTGTTGGATATAAGCATTAATGTCTATCAAAATACTAGAAACATGTGATAAAAATATATTGTCAAGTTAAATGGGTGGGTTTTGTTGTATTTTTTAAACTATTGAATGAATAAGTATCAAATAATCTGATGTATTTCTTTGTAATTACATTCGATTGGAAGATATCCTAAAAGGGTTTCATATACATACTCATATGTGTCCCTGTAGGAGAGTAAGAACATATTGCCATACTATAACAATATGAAAGCACAAACAGCAACATTTCAAAATCAAAAAGGCAAACCTTTATATTTCAAACACACCATACTTATCCAACATGAAATGTCAACTGTTTCATACTATGTTTGAACTGAAAAATATTTTTTGAAATCTGATAAATTCCCTGAGTTAGAAATTAAAAAGCTCAAAAATATAACCTTGAACCCTTTTGTAAAATCCTGCATTCATCAGATAATGAATTTATGAAAGAATAAATGTTCAGATAACTTATCATAATTATTTGTTTCTGTGGGGGGGGGAAATCTTACCAAGCTTCCATCTGCTCTGCTATCTCACTCTGATCCATGAGGTCTTCTAGGGTATCACAGAATACTTTTTGTTGTTCCCTCAAGTCTTCTAGATCTTGAGACACCTTGGCTTTAATCCCCTCTTCATAGCTACAACAGTCCAACAATAATAGCATATTTATACATGTATATATATTTCATTGACTCTTGGATAACTTGGCTTTAATAGCTCTTTGTAGCTACAATAGTCCAACAATAACAGGTAAACAGTGACAGTGAAGAGGTCCTTCATTTTTATGAGGCAGAGCTAAATCATACAGCTAAACATTCTTATTGAAAACACAGACTTGCTTTGAAAAATTTATGATACATAAAATTTGACTGGATTGCAATTCAAGTAAATCTCAAACATGAATTTACACTAACATTTTTTCAAACAGCCAAATGGCTAATGAATTTTTTGAAGCATTTGTGAGATTTGAATATCTTTATGAATCCTTACCCTTTTTGAAATATTTCTTCTTCATTGGGTTTATGATCAGTAGATTTATCAGAACCATCTTTGGAGTATGTGATCGACCGTCTCACTAAAGTTGTACCTTGGGTACTTGGGGTAGCTAGAGTTGAGCTTGTTATGGTGGCAATGGAGGCACTCGTAGGCCCATTTGAACTGAAATAAGGAAGAATTGTAGCATAAACTATTTTAGACAATGGCAATTTAGGAAAAAGATGCAGAAATCAGAATCAGAAATTCATGTATGGCATACTGTTTTCTTAACAAACCTTTTTGAGGAGGAGGCAATATGGAATTGTTTCATTTCAGCCTACAGAATAAAGTATGGCTGACAAGTATATTCAAACTGTTCCACAAATTAAACAAGCCATTAACATGCAAAATGCCATCACCTGTCATTTGTTACAGATACTGAATGCAGAACACAAACCACCAAACACCAACCACTGATGACTAACCACCAAAAACCAACCATTGAACACTGTCCACAAAAATGTTGGGAGACTTTAACAATTTCAAATGGTGCTTGATTTTCAGGGCAATGATTTATTATGGTAAAGTGATACACAGTTTTGGAAATATGTTTGTATTTCAGAAACAGTTGACTTACACAACTACTGGCTGAAGGGATTCCTTGATATCATTGTGGTTGAGCTCCTGTGTTTTCTCTAGAGTAGGACTAGATAATATGGGGGACAGTTCAGACTGTCCTGTAGGACTATTGTCTCCTTTATCTGCCATAGAAGCCCGTCTCACAACACTAAAGATGGAGTTCTTGTTACCTGCTGAGGTAGATGCTACTATGTTCTGAAATCGACTTTTTGGATCCTAAAAAGTCAAAAACTTTGAAATTTTAATCAACTCACATTGACTACAGATTCAGAGATGGTTCCAGGTTTTTGCTCAACATGGTTCTTAATTTTAATATTTCCTTTTTAGGCAAAATGTTAAAATAATTCATCTTTTTGATAGGACTGCAAACAGCTCTTGAACAAGGTCACATGTCATTTTTGAATTTTGAATGATGTGGTGCAAAACCTGGTTGAGCCAACGCTGGACAGATCACTGTCATTCATATATATTATAGTCACAATAAGAAGTTCAGTGAAGATTTTAAAGTTATTTTTTGTTTCAATCATTATGTATATTTATAAATAAGATAAGTTTTGTTGCATTGGCTATACATGTATAATGAACGTTTTAGATTTAATAGGTTAACCCAACAATACTATCAGAATCACTTAACTAAAAAAAATTATAAAAATGTTATTGAAAAACTAAATTATTGATAAACATATTATAAATAAATAAATAAAACATATGCATATGTAAAATATAAAACATTAGAAAACATATTTATGTTGCAAGCGGGTGGAACATGAGCTCTTACATTTGAGACACTGGCCTGTCTTCCTAAAGCACCCACCGCTACGCTAGCACGCCTTCTAGTCCCCTAAACAATGAACAACACAAAATGTACAACATATATACAGGCAGTATTACACATTACAACATAAAAAATAAAAAATAAATAAATACAATAACATGTATTACACATTACAACATGATATGAATAAATAAATAAATACAGTAAATAAACAAAATGTTTTAAGTATGCTGAAGACGTTATCAGGTAAAATGTAACACAAACTATAGGATAGTACGACATTGAGAAGTTCTGAGGCTTTGCATGTTCTTCCCCTTTATGAGCATTAATGAACACATCTACATTTACATAAGTTGGGCTTTCTTGTATGGCACAATAATAATCAGAAAGTGCAACTGAGGCCACATTTCAAGTAGACAATCACAAATAAACCATCATACTTTACATCTAAAGCAGATCAAAATGTGTTAATATAAAATTGATCAGTAAGCTCAGGGTCACATTTTACAATCAAAATCCAACTCCCTCAAGTTATTTTGGGAAGCAATAAGCGCACCTGATGATATGTGATTATCATCATATATTCCTCAGGTAAATAAGAAATTAATTAATTAAATACAAATAAAAAATAATAAATACCGCACAATTATGGCATATTCAGTAAAACCTGTCTAATTTGAACGCTACTGAGATCAGTAATATAGTAAATAAGCAGGACTTGTTCATATTTCAAGGTTTCTCAATATGTAAATGAATGAGATAATAGGGAGTTTAAGCTTGCAATATTTTTCACAACCTAAACGTGAAAAGAAAATATTTAAGCGATGCATTTGAATGGGCCATTGGTCATACGTATAGGTTGGCGTTTCGATTTTATATGCCAGTTTAAAATCCCTATTAACAAAAATGGGACCTTGTAAAAAAAATCACATTGAGAAATGTTCAGATTAGAGAGGTGTTTGAATGTACAGGTTTACTGTAGTTGTACAACAAATTCAAAATAACAACAGTGGAATGAATACAATATTACAACATTGACAACACTGATTTACAGTACTGTACTGTAAAAATGTAATACCTCCTCTTCAACAGATTCTTCGGTAGATTTACTACGTGAGCTGACACTAGGTGGAGGCATATATGCCTCACGATGACGCAATCTGGCAGACGACACCTGATCAACAGGGGGATTCGATACAATTTCAGTGCATTCAGTTATTTATACCAAACAATAATCTTGTGAAACAATTTTTTCCACAATTTATCATTTCACAGAAAAACAGAGAAGTAAGATTCCATTTAAAGCGATTGGATGAATTTTTGTATTGTTTGACTAAGATTTATAGAAGAAATACTGCCATCTTTTTATTTACTAGTGAATCAAAAAAGGGTTTAATCAAGAAACTTTCCTTTACATCACTCAACAAAAATTATGAACACAAATGTACAATAATTAAATGTGTAGAAAATTGAAACCTGATCTCAATAATCTGTCCACTCAAATAAGCTGTCCCTATGACAATTTTTGACTGAAATCTGTCACAATCCTAAAACACCAACGTACCTTAAGACTAGTGGCTCCCCCTGTCACAGACATAGACCTCTTTCCAATGGTGTATTCCCCTGCTGTAAAACAAGCATACATAATATTATGTAATCTGATTATACTCAAATTAACTAATAATATCCCAGCTTAAATATCCAAATATAAAATAGGCTTCCTACTACTGATTAGTCTAGTCTTCTTACTCATGCATCATGAAACCATCCCCATACCACAAAAAAAACAAAGCATTAACATGACAAAATGTCACCACCTAGTTGCTCACAATATTATTAGTTCAATCTTGATTTGAATTTCTGAGAATTCTGTAGATGATTTTTTAAAAAAAATTGGTCAATTTGAAGCAAGTTTTTTGAAGAAGTTTTTTGAGAAGGTCATTGAAGGTGAGATCTAAAATCTAAGTCAGATTTGAATTTCTGAGAACTTGTGAGTTTGAAAAAAATTGTTCAATTTGAAGCAAGTTGAAAAAGTAACTTGAGATTGTCATTGAAGGTCAAATCTAGTCAGATTTGAACTTTTGAGAACTTGTAAATGATTTTGAAAAATAAATTGGTCAATCTGAAGCAAGTTGAAAAAATACCTTTTTGACCTTTCTTTGACCTTGAGAAGGTCCTTGAAGGTCACATCTTATATCTAAAGTCAGATTTGAATTTCTGTCAACTTGTAGATGATTTTGAAGAAAATTGGACCATTTGAAGCAAGTTGAAAAGGTCATTGAAGGTAAAATCTTGAATGATTGTAAAGTCAGTTTTTGAAAACGTATACATGATTTGGAATAAAATTGTGAATCAGTCAAATGGTATATTAGATAAAATTTTATATGAAATATGGTGGTCATTTTGATTTGAACAGCCATAATGGAAATTCACTCTCAAGTAGAGGTCCTATCTCCATAAGGCATCAGCCTCTAAAACTTTAACCCATATATTCACCTATATCTGGGCTTGTTGAAGGAGTATAGAGGTTGTTCTCCTGTAGGATCCTCCTTGTCTCCTCCAGTTCATGGTGTTCTCTCTCGTACAATCTCTTCAGGTTCTCAGTATGTTGAACCATAACCTGAACAAATGAAAACATATGTCTACATTATAATTAATTCACTACATATTAATTGTAAACATACTTTTGTATCATGTATATTATCACAATGTTAAGGGCTGTTCCTGGAATACATTTTGAATTTGTTTTTAAATTTCAAACAGAGTAATTTCTGAATTTTAAGACCTGTCTAAGTGGAACACCTTCATCACTTACAGGTGTTCCACTAACACAGGTTTTTAGTACCAGTTAAATTAGTCTTGTGCGCGCCGCTATCACTGTGTGAACTTAAATCTTTCTCGCAACAAAAATAATACAATTTTTTCTGTTATGGATTGTATACTTCCCATTCTCTCGATCAAAAATCCAAACAATTGTTTTGAAGATCACATAGAATTGATGAAAAACTGTAAAACTATGCAATCAAATATACCTCAATAGCAGTGCTGAGACGTCTCTCTTGGTGTACTGCCCCAAGGACCTCTGCCCTACTAGACATCCTATTAGTAGTCTGAGCAAGTACTTCTATGTGATGTTGGAGTCTCTGGTAGATCTGAACACTCTCATTGTCCATACACATTGTATGTAATGACTGCAAGTATAGCAATACACATTGTACGTAAATACTGCAAGTATAGCAATACACATTGTATGTAAGGACTGCAAGCAGCAATACACATTGTATGTAAAGACTGCAAGTATATATATACAGATTGTATGTGATGACTGCAAATATAACAATACATATTGTATGTAATGATTGCAAATATAACCATACATATTGTATGTAATGACTGCAAATATAGCAATACACATTGTATGTGATGACTGCAAATATAGCAATACACATTGTATGTAAAGACTGCAAATATAACAATACACATTGTATGTGATGACTGCAAATATAACAATACATATTGTATGTAATGACTGCAAGTATAACCATACAATATTGTATTTGCAATAATTGCAAATATAACCATACATATTGTATGCAATGACTGCAAATATAACAATACACATTATGACTGCAAATATATCAATACACATTGTATGTAATGACTGCAAATATGACAATACACGTTGTATGCATTATGTAATGACGACAAATATAACAATACACATTGCATGTAATGACTGCAAATTATACCAAATATGAAAAAACATAAACATTGTTTGTAATGACTTCAAATATAAAAAAAATATAACCACACAATTGCAGATCTTTGTTTCAGATGCATTTTCTAATATTTCATTTTTAGTCATTTTGACTTATATATAGACAATATTTATATTAATGTATCTACATTTCATGTTTCTGTCAAATTTTGATGGATGTTTTGAAAGTCAAAGCCAAATACTAATATTCATAAAAATCTCAATAAGGCTCTACATAGGTAACCAGTTTTATTCAAATGTAATAAATGCCTTACTAAACCCTTTCTCTAAAGCCGTGAATATTCATACCATTTCTGAAAAAATCCATTCAAGCGGCAGGGGATAATTTGATTTATCTCTTAGCTTTAGACAGACTTATTCTAGGAAGGTATTTATCCCACTGATACACTGATCTTCAATTACAAGCCATACAGTTGGAATAAATCAGATGAAAACACTGCTTTTAGAGTCCCAGAACAACTATTATCATTTGCTTCCTTCAATTTCTTCATAAATCTGAAGTAGAGTTAATAAATATGTCTCAGAGAGTTTCTTCTCCAATTTTCAAAAATCAATACTACTATAAGATCACACTTGCCATCATATTCAAGCGAGAATCTTCTTTGAAATAAAAGGGTGTTTCCCTCTTGAAATTAAGGTGTTTTTTAAAAATTAAGGGTGAAGATTTTTTGTCTACTGTATTCAAGGTTGTTTCTCTTTTGAATTTAAGGATTCTTCTCTCTGGAAATTAAGATTATTTCTCTTAAATTAAGACTATTTATCTTAGTTCTCTTTTGAAATCAAGGTATTTTCTCTTAAAATTAAGGTTCAATTAAGGGTGTTTCTCTCTTGAAGTTAAGATTTTTGTCTTGAATTCAAGGTTGTTTCTCTTTTGAATTCAAAAATCTTTGGAAATTAAGGTTATTTCTTTTAAATTAAGCTATTTATCTTGTTTGTCTTTTGAAGTCAAGGTTGCTTCTCTTGAAATTGAGGTTGCTTCTCTTGAAATTAAGTTTGTCTTTTAAAATTAAGGTTGTTTTTTGATAAAAAGTTTTTTCCCTTTTAAAACAAAACAAAACAACATCAACTTGATAGAGAGGTAGGTAAAATAATAAAATAAAATAACGGAAGACATTTCAAAAATGCCACTCAAACAGATGCTCCCACCTTAAGTGCTTCCTTAAGTCCATCAAGCTCTTGATCTATATTTTCCTCTGCAATATTACGCTGTCGTTCCTGTAACTCTAGCCTCTTTTCCAAAGTGAGTCGATCTGTTTTGAACGCAAGGGAAATTCCCACAAACTTCTCTTCCAGTTCTTGATCATTCAGGTGTTCAGCACTGGAAATATAAATGTTTTTCATGAATTATATTTTTAATACTAAGTGCAAACTGAATATTTTCATACTGTGTGGTTTTAGACCTTGAATAGATATAAAACTTTTCTTGGTTAGACTTGCCACCCCTTGTTTATCTTATTTAAATAAAACTAAATAAGAAAGAAGAAAGTGTGGGTAACACTTTTTGAGTAAATGGTCTCAAATTACCACCCAACCAGAGGATATGAATGTCTCCGGTTACATATTGTTTATACATAGAGAATCTCATTTTAAGAGGTTTAAAAATGTGCATATGAAAAATTTCTAGACACCAATTTTTTTTATCTCCTTCATATTTCTGCCACGTTGAATGTAATAAATCCAATTTTGATAATTATGAATGTTTTGACCTGGCCCCTGATTCAATCAATCAGTATGGAGTGCTGCATTTGAGTCTAAAAACAAATGTTTATATGGAACTTAACAAACCACTAAGAGATGTAATCACCTCTTACAGTTCCACTACAATAGTCTGTAATAACTTAGAGATAGTGATGTCTACTTAAATGACTTTCCGTAACAATGCTGACTTTGAAATAAAGGGATAGTCTGATGCCCAGACCTTATACCATTCTCTCTCAATTCTCTGCATTAAGCTTAATCAGAGAAAATATTATAAAATCTACAGAGGACATTTCGTAAAACAATGCTCTTGAATGAAATAGCTTTGCTGTTAGGATCAAATATGTCCATGGTCCAAATCAAATCAGACGCTTTTCATTTTGACAAGTCAGACCATTTGATCATTTTTATTTTGAAAAAATACCTGATTTGACCATTTTCATGATGAGAGGATGAATGTCATTTCTTTTTAGCTTGTACAAAAAATGATGAGAATAGGCAAATATTATATACAAAAGCCCGTGAAATTTTACCTAACTTGGATTTACAAAGTGAAAAGGACGATTCTCGGTTTGGAGAACAGTCTCCTGGGCTAATAATTCTTTTCATGAAAAATATAGAAATATTACCCAAATTAAACTATGAACATTCAAAAAAGGACATTTAAATCTACAAGATGTAAAGATAACAAATTGGTCTGAAGCAGGGATAATGCTCAAATAGACCGATTCAATATAAATACAAGTCTCGATTTGGGGAAAGAAGTTCATCAGTGTACTGCGCTAACATTTTTTTGCGAAAAATCTAGAAATATTACCCAAATTAAATTATGACTATTTAAAAGAAGACATTCAAATCTTTATTATGTAAAAAAATCAAATTTGTCCGAAGCAGGGATAATGCTCATTTAGATTGATGAACTTCGTTCTCCAAACCGAGAATCGTCCTTTATTTGTCAATCTTATTTCTAGTAAAAATGTAACCTTGCAAAGACATATTGGCAAATTCATTTACCATTCATTTAAGAATTTAGCATGGTCATAATGCATTGTGTGTGCACCACACTATTATTGTTACCTTATATATTTTTATATATTTTTGGTATTTTTTTTAGTTTAGTTGTTTTGTAGTTTAGATATGTAGTCTACCATAGTTCTGACTAATGTAATCATGTTATGATACTATATGTCAATAAAAGTTATATATATATATATATATACCTCAGTCCCGTAGCACCCCCCCCCCCCCCAGCCAAAAAATCTTTCAAAATCATGCAGTTTTCACCATTCTGAGAACTTTTTAAGTGAGTGATTTTCACAGTTATCATCACACGCCCCCCCCCCTCCCTAACACAAAATCCTGGATCCGCCCCTGCCCCCTTGGCAAATCCTGGCTACGGGCCTTAACCTATTAAGATGACATATCCATAAATATAAGCAAAGCTCGCCAAAAGATTTCCATCAGGAACATTCCACAAAATATGTGTAAATGCAACATAAATCATAATTTATCATATAAACCAAATAAAACCGATACACATAATGTTAGTGTTGCCTGATGAAGGATTTTTAGGGTCAAACAAGTCAACAAATGCACTCTAATCTCTAAAAGATTGATCCCTCCTTTTTTATCTATTCTATTATACTGTAGTAGTCTGTGTGCATGCACATGTATAATCAGGGGCATTATATCTATTGACGGAGGGCAATTCACATGCTGGTTTGACAAGGAGTGACTCTGAATCGCAAAAACTTCCATATAGAATGTTTGCAAAGAAACCATGTAAGATTCATTCTACATACTCCTTGTATATAATCACAGATCTGAGCCTTTTTAGGCTCGTTTGTAGGATTATTGAATCCCCCGAATATAATGTCACTCCTTCTTATTAAATAATTATTTGGAGGGCTGATAGCAAAATACCAGTTTGATTTTCAAAAATTCATACCTTGGTAATCTAAGATGCCCTGATAGAGCATTCACTGATAATAGATTGTTTAAATTGAGTCACCCATTAAATCCTGCTAAATAAAATGAATCTTGCACCTAGTCTCTTGACACCCTCACATTCTACTTTACCTTCAAATGGCCTAAAGAGTGTATGGGGGGAGGGTCACAATCACTGGAAGCAAGCATTAAAATGCAACCACCTATCTAAAGTGTAACAATTGTTACATATGCCAGGCCCGTAGCCAGGGGGGGTTCGAGCAAAACCCCCCCCTGGCCAAAAATTCTTTCAAGATCATACAGTTTTTCACCATTCTGAGCACTTTTTAAGTGATTTTGGCCATTTTTGGACCAAAATTGTTAAAAGTGAACCCCCCTGGAATTTTCCAAAAAGTGAACAAGTCCTGGCCATGGGCCTGTATGCTAAATGCCAACACAGACACCAAATGCCAGTCACTAAACAAGATATTAAATATTAACACGCAAAATGATATTTGTCAAATGTTAACTTGCCATTTGTTGCAGATACCAACCGCTGAACACTAACCACCAAACACCATCCACAAAAAGAGGAAGACGAGAACAATATATCACCACCTGTTGTGGTGACTTAAAAATAAGTCACTTTAAAAATGTCACCATAATGCTTTATCAAAACCACATTTATCTAATACGTGTACTCCAAGAGGCTGTGGATCCCACAATAATGATATGTCACCTCTGTAAAATTGTAGTGACATAATAAAAATGTGTCTCTTTAAAATGGTGGTGACATAAAAAACAATGAGTCTCTTTAAATTGGTGGTGACATAAAAAACAATGAGTCTCTTTAAATTGGTGGTGACATAAAAAACAATGAGTCTCTTTAAATTGGTGGTGACATAAAAAACAATGAGTCTCTTTAAATTGGTGGTGACATAAAAAACAATGAGTCTCTTTAAATTGGTGGTGACATAAAAAACAATGAGTCTCTTTAAAATGGTGGTGACATAAAAAAACAATGTGACCTTACTTGTTTGCTTTAATTGCTTGTTTCACCACTTTATGAAATGCATCAGCCATCATGAACAATATCCACACCTTTCTGACTTATTAATCCATATATATGAAATGTTACAATTTACTGATCCATACACAGGGCCATCATCTCACTTATGAAGTTTTACTTTTCATTAATCCATACATCTGTACATAGAGTCGTCATTTCACTTATAATCCATACACAGGGTCATCATTTCACTTATGAAGTTTTACTGATCCTCTTAGCTATCCCTTTGTATGTACTGCTACTATATCAATGTTTCCTGTCAAAACACTACTCTTTATATGGCCCCATATTGCAATACATTTTAATAAAATATATCCCCTGATTTTATTACTGAATTTAATATCCAAACCATTCTTTCGTATAATTGGTTTAGATCCAAACTGATCCTGTCGGCAGTTGATTACATAGTGTCAGATGATCTGTTTTATGGTGAGCTCAGTCATAAAATTGCTTTTCATCAAGAGTGTAACTTTTAGTTTTTATGCGTTCATTTCACCTTTTTCATTTAGGTGTGTCATAGTTTAGACTGACATGTATACATTTAGTATATGCTTACATTTTACTTCAACTACAGACATTCCTTACGTTCTTATATCTGAGGTTATTGTTTATCTTTCTATTATACCTTGCATCTCAAACACTCACTGTATGTTAAGACAACTCCTTTTAATTTATAGGTCTTCAAACTATACAGCAATTCCTATTAGGGATATATCCTGGTATATTGTAAATTGAATAATAACATTTTCTTTCCTCTGACTGGATGAATATCTTTGTTATTCTTTAAGTTTGAGAATTCTGAAGCCTTCTATGTCTGAGACACAATCTTATACAAATCGCCTACTCTATTGGAATGATGTCAGGTACCATTGGATAGGATAGCAGGCGAGACCCCTAGCCGAATGAAGATTTTTTTAAATGAAATCATGATGTTCACCATTTCAAGCTCTTTTCAAGTGATTTTGGGCCAAAATTATCAAATATGAAACCCCCTTGGAATTTAAAAAATTGACCCCCCCCCCTTGGCAAAAGCTGGCTATGGGCCTGGATAGTCAGTATTGTGTTGTGTGTTTCATTATTTTTGTAACACTGAAATATGTTATTGGAAATAATTATGAGAAAAAATTCAAATAATGTATGTGTACTCAACTAGATTATTAAGAATAACACATGTGCATGTATCTACAAATAAAGTTCATCCTATTAAAGATATAAACCATGTTACAGATTGGTTAAATACTTCTGCATGTACTATTATACATATGTATGTACTATTAATTCTAAAATAGGTTTAAAGGGGCTATTAACTTGGTAGATGAAATAACCCCCCCCCCCCTCCTCCTAAGCCTTTTTCATATATCAAAGTTTCTAACATTCCTAATTAGTAAGCAAAATCCCCTGTAAAAGACCCATTCTGTTGATCTCATAGTCTTGCTTCAAGACCCTTGACCCCACCCCCACCCCCTTATCAACAAATAATGGTCTACTTAACTGAATACAATATACAGGATATGGTACACTCCCACATAACATGAACTTGCATAGCATATATTTGAGTAAATAGAATACATTTGCTAGCGTGATACCTTTAATACTGTAGATGTTATTTTGATAACTTTGTTAAT